ACTAGTACTGGCACTCTGCTGCATAGGAGTCATCATGCTTTGTACCACCTCAGCAGCCTGAGAATGGGGTCATGTACTCCTGATATTAGCGGGGACCTGTTCCCCGTGGCCCGAGCCATCTGTCGGGGACCTGTTCCCCGTGGCCCGAGCCATCTGTCGGGGACCTGTTCCCCGTGGCCCGGCCATCTGTCGGGGACCTGTTCCCCGTGGCCCGAGCCATCTGTCGGGGACCTGTTCCCCGTGGCCCGGGCCATCTGTCGGGGACCTGTTCCCCGTGGCCCGGGCCATCTGTCGGGGACCTGTTCCCCGTGGCCCGGGCCATCTGTCGGGGACCTGTTCCCCCGTGGCCCGGGCCATCTGTCGGGGACCTGTTCCCCCGTGGCCCGGGCCATCTGTCGGGGACCTGTTCCCCCGTGGCCCGGGCCATCTGTCGGGGACCTGTTCCCCCGTGGCCCGGGCCATCTGTCGGGGACCTGTTCCCCCGTGGCCCGGGCCATCTGTCGGGGACCTGTTCCCCCGTGGCCCGGGCCATCTGTCGGGGACCTGTTCCCCCGTGGCCCGGGCCATCTGTCGGGGACCTGTTCCCCCGTGGCCCGGGCCATCTGTCGGGGACCTGTTCCCCCCGTGGCCCGGGCCATCTGTCGGGGACCTGTTCCCCCGTGGCCCGGGCCATCTGTCGGGGACCTGTTCCCCCGTGGCCCGGGCCATCTGTCGGGGACCTGTTCCCCCGTGGCCCGGGCCATCTGTCGGGGACCTGTTCCCCCGTGGCCCGGGCCATCTGTCGGGGACCTGTTCCCCCGTGGCCCGGGCCATCTGTCGGGGACCTGTTCCCCCGTGGCCCGGGCCATCTGTCGGGGACCTGTTCCCCCGTGGCCCGGGCCATCTGTCGGGGACCTGTTCCCCCGTGGCCCGGGCCATCCCCCCGTGTCCCGGGGGGGACCTGTTCCCCCGTGGCCCGGGCCCATCTGTCGGGGACCTGTTCCCCCGTGGCCCGGGCCATCTGTCGGGGACCTGTTCCCCCGTGGCCCGGGCCATCTGTCGGGGACCTGTTCCCCCGTGGCCCGGGCCATCTGTCGGGGACCTGTTCCCCCGTGGCCCGGGCCATCTGTCGGGGACCTGTTCCCCCGTGGCCCGGGCCATCTGTCGGGGACCTGTTCCCCCGTGGCCCGGGCCATCTGTCGGGGACCTGTTCCCCCGTGGCCCGGGCCATCTGTCGGGGACCTGTTCCCCCGTGGCCCGGGCCATCTGTCGGGGACCTGTTCCCCCGTGGCCCGGGCCATCTGTCGGGGACCTGTTCCCCCGTGGCCCGGGCCATCTGTCGGGGACCTGTTCCCCCGTGGCCCGGGCCATCTGTCGGGGACCTGTTCCCCCGTGGCCCGGGCCATCTGTCGGGGACCTGTTCCCCCGTGGCCCGGGCCATCTGTCGGGGACCTGTTCCCCCGTGGCCCGGGCCATCTGTCGGGGACCTGTTCCCCCGTGGCCCGGGCCATCTGTCGGGGACCTGTTCCCCCGTGGCCCGGGCCATCTGTCGGGGACCTGTTCCCCCGTGGCCCGGGCCATCTGTCGGGGACCTGTTCCCCCGTGGCCCGGGCCATCTGTCGGGGACCTGTTCCCCCGTGGCCCGGGCCATCTGTCGGGGACCTGTTCCCCCGTGGCCCGGGCCATCTGTCGGGGACCTGTTCCCCCGTGGCCCGGGCCATCTGTCGGGGACCTGTTCCCCCGTGGCCCGGGCCATCTGTCGGGGACCTGTTCCCCCGTGGCCCGGGCCATCTGTCGGGGACCTGTTCCCCCGTGGCCCGGGCCATCTGTCGGGGACCTGTTCCCCCGTGGCCCGGGCCATCTGTCGGGGACCTGTTCCCCCGTGGCCCGGGCCATCTGTCGGGGACCTGTTCCCCGTGGCCCGAGCCATCTGTCGGGGACCTGTTCCCCGTGGCCCGAGCCATCTGTCGGGGACCTGTTCCCCGTGGCCCGAGCCATCTGTCGGGGACCTGTTCTCCGTGGCCCGAGCCATCTGTCGGGGACCTGTTCCCCGTGGCCCGAGCCATCTGTCGACAGGTTTGTATTCTGAGGTGGATTCTGTCGGTCTTCCCCTTCGCTCTCACCTGACACACTCAGGATCCTGTAGGCCTCTCCATTAGCGTATCTTTGGACATTTTGACCACTGAATTTATAGGTCCCTAGTGAGACTCTGTAGAAAAATGGCACCTGGCTGTCAGGGACTGCTTGATCTGCTACAAACAAATGTACCTGCTAGTGCTAGCGGAGATCAGGCCTGATTCTGCCAACACTGCGGATTTGTGTGCAATGTATCAGGTGACAGGGACCTACTGACGCTGCACTTGCTGGGGGAGAAGGGGGGGGGGGTAAGCGTAGGGGCTAAACACAGGTGCAGGCAGGTGCCGGGGCTGATCCCGCTAACGCTGCGTTTTTGGGGATGCTATACTAATGTGAACGCTGGTATAGTGCTGATCTGATCAAAGATATTGAACCGTTCAGACACTATACTAGCAATGGAGGTTTATTGTGTATGAGCGTCTTCCTGGCAATCAAGGGGTTGAATGTGATGACTGGTGTACTGACGGGCAATCTGACGCCATCTGGGAGGGGCACTGATGCTATCGGAAGTCACCGGCAACACTAATCCGGCGATCGGCAAACAAATGTGTACATTGTACTAATGGTGACAGGGCAGTGAGGGGGGTAACTGGGGGGTGGTCAGGGGGTTCCATGTGTTCCAACTGGAAGTGTTGTACTTTGTAAAACACGTCGAGGAAGATCCCTGATAGGACAGGTTCGATCATCTGACCTGGGCCGAACATAACTGGCCTAAATCGGATGCCTCGGAGATCCAAACGTGGCCCCCACCCCCCCCCCCCCCCGCTCACAACAGCTGCAGGAGTGCGAATCATGTACGTGCACCGTGCCGCCCTGCAGAAGTATTTCTATTATAGGGCGGTGCGGGAGCAGTTGAGGGTTAAAGCCAGAAAGTTGGAATGGTTTGGAGGCGTGGCTGTGGTGGGTGGTTTGGAGGCGTGGCTGGTTTGGGGCGTGGCTGTGGTGGCTGGTTTGGAGGTGTGGCTGGTTTGGGGCGTGGCTGTGGTGGCTGGTTTGGAGGCGTGGCTGGTTTGGAGACGTGGCTGTGGTGGCTGGTTTGGGGCGTGGCTGTGGTGGCTGGTTTGGAGGCGTGGCTGGTTTGGAGGCGTGGCTGGTTTGGAGGCGTGGCTGGTTTGGAGGCTGGTTTGGGGGCGTGGCTGGTTTGGGGGCTGGTTTGGGGGCGTGGCTGGTTTGGAGGCGTGGCTGTGGTGGGATTGGTGTTTTTCTAAACAATGGGACATTTTCCCAGAGTGGGGATTCCATACTTTTTGCCCGGGGCTGTAGTGTAGGACTGGTCCAATATACAGGAAACAGGCCAACAAGTGCTTGGTGGGGGCACTGTGGGGGGGAGGATGCAGGGCAGGGGCGGGGCTGTATAAAAGTGAGCATCTCCTTTAATGGGGGGGGGTTCACATTGCCTGGGAGGTGCCTAGAGGACGCTGCGCTTTACGGGTTTTTTGGTATTTTCTGTAAAACATTTTTTGTTTTTTGCCCATTTTCCCTCCTCCGCCCTCCAAGTCAGGTGATCAGTCACAGGCAGGTAAACTCAGGGGCGTGGTTGGAGGTGTTAGGGGGCGGGGTTTGGGTGTCGGGGGCGGGCTTGGAGATGCCTCACAGGAGGGACAGTGTGTATCAACAAGCTTTATTTCCTAAATGGCTGTACACCTCATCTACATAACACACCTTCATGGAACACCCCAACCCCCAGAACATTTCCCCTTCATGACCAGGCCATTTTCTGCTATTCAGGATTGTGCTACTTTAACAGAAAATTGCGCAGTCATGCAACACTGATTGGGATTGGCAGAGGGGGGTGGAGGACACTGAATGGAGGGATTGGCAGAGAGGGGTGGAGGACACTTTATGGAGGCCAGTGGAGGGATTGGCAGAGAGGGGTGGAGGACACTGAATGGAGGCCAGTGGAGGGATTGGCAGAGAGGGGTGGAGGACACTGAATGGAGGCCAGTGGAGGGATTGGTAGAGGGGGTGGAGGACACTGAATGGAGGGATTGGTAGAGAGGGGTGGAGGACGCTTTATGGAGGCCAGTGGAGGGATTGGTAGAGAGGGGTGGAGGACACAGGAGGGATTGGCAGAGAGGGGTGGAGGACACTGAATGGAGGCCAGTGGAGGGATTGGCAGAGAGGGGTGGAGGACACTGAATGGAGGCCAGTGGAGGGATTGGCAGAGAGGGGTGGAGGACACAGGAGGGATTGGCAGAGAGGGGTGGAGGACACAGAGTGGGGGCCAGTGGAGGGATTGGCAGAGGGGGGTGGAAGCCAGTGGAGGGATTGGCAGAGGGGGGGTGGAGGACACTGAATGGAGGCCAGTGGAGGGGTTGGCAGAGGGGGGTGGAGGACACTGAATGGAGGCAAATGGAGGGATTGGCAGAAAGGGGTGGAGGACACTGAATGGAGGCCATTGGAGGGATTGGCAGAAAGGGGTGGAGGACACTGAATGGAGGCCAGTGGAGGGATTGGCAGAGAGGGGTGGAGGACCCTGAATGGAGGCCATTGGAGGGATTGGCAGAAAGGGGTGGAGGACACTGAATGGAGGCCAGTGGAGGGGTTGGCAGAGGGGGGTGGAGGACACTGAATGGAGGCCAATGGAGGGATTGATAGAGAGGGGTGGAGGACACAGGAGGGATTGGCAGAGAGGGGTGGAGGACACTGAATGGAGGCCAGTGGAGGGATTGGCAGAGGGGGGTGGAGGACACTGAATGGAAGCCAGTGGAGGGATTGGCAGAGGGGGGTGGAGGACACTGAATGGAGGACACTGAATGGAGACCAGTGGAGGGATTGGCAGAATGGGGTGGAGGACACTGAGTGGAGGGATTGGTGGTAACTCTTGTAGGGTCAGAGGTGATGGCTGGTGGTTTCAGGTCTGATTGGCGGTTCTTGTGTTGCAGCCACACAGGTGCAGGGAACGGTGAAGTGGTTCAATGTGCGGAATGGATATGGCTTTATAAACAGGTATGGCACAGCTGGTGGTGGGCTGGTGGTGGTGCGCTGGGCTGGTGGTGGTGCGCTGGGCTGGTGGTGGTGCGCTGGGCTGGTGGTGGTGCGCTGGGCTGGTGGTGGTGCGCTGGGCTGGTGGTGGTGCGCTGGGCTGGTGGTGGTGCGCTGGGCTGGTGGTGGTGCGCTGGGCTAGGCTGGTGGAGGTGGGCTGGTGGTGGTGTGCGCTGGGCTAGGCTGGTGGAGGTGGGCTGGTGGTGGTGCGCTGGGCTGGGCTGGTGGAGGTGGGCTGGGCTGGTGGAGGTGGGCTGGGCTGGTGGAGGTGGGCTGGGCTGGTGGAGGTGGGCTGGGCTGGTGGAGGTGGGCTGGGCTGGTGGAGGTGGGCTGGGCTGGTGGAGGTGGGCCGGTATCCTAGACTAACACGAGGACCTTTCTTGCAGGAATGACACCAAGGAAGATGTCTTTGTCCATCAGGTGAGTGCTCGGTTCTGTGGACCTGGATTGGTTCTGTCCTGGTAATATGGGAAGTAACCGTTTGTTCTCTGGCTCCACAGACGGCAATAAAGAGAAACAATCCTCGGAAGTTCCTCCGCAGTGTTGGAGACGGGGGGAGACGGTAGAGTTCGATGTGGTGGAAGGAGAGAAGGTGGGTGTTATCATTCTTGTAATGACAAGGTGGTGATGGCAGCTCTTTTATTTATTTTTTTCTCCTTTTATCTCTGTTCAGGGTGCAGAAGCCGCCAATGTGACTGGCCCTGGGGGTGTACCAGTGAAGGGCAGTAGATTTGCCCCAAACAGACGGAGGTTTCGTAGGCGTCCTTTTCGGCCAAGAATGGATATGGCTGGGTCTGGTGGAGAAGGCGGGAATGCAGAGCCTCTGAGTGAGGGTGAGAGAGCAGAGGATGCCTCTCCCCAACAAAGACCACGGAGGAGACCACCTCCTTTCTACTTCAGACGTCGCTTTGGAAGAGGCCCCAGGCCACCTCAGCAGGGCTCAGAGGTGAGTTTTCTGTGGCACCACATACCCTTCCTGGCGCTATCAAGAGCTCAAAAAGCTCCAGCCTTTGGCCACATTGTCCACTGCCAGAAACTGGCTGGTCCTCCATTGAGGAACATCTAGTCCTCTATCTGGTAGAGGGTGTGGGGTGTATTAAAGTCTTCTGTCTGAGAACGGTATGTTGCAAGTCACGCGGTTGGGTCTTTGGTCTGGGGAGGGTGGGTTGGCAGTCATGCGGTTGGGTCTTTGCTCTGGGGGGGGGGGGGTAGGTTGGCAGTCACGCGGTTGGGACTTTGCTCTGGGGGGGGGGGGGGGGTTGGTTTTTAGTCACGCGGTTGGGTCTTTGCTCTGGGGGGGGTTGGTTGGCAGTCACGCGGTTGGGTCTTTGCTCTGGGGGGGGGGTTGGTTGGCAGTCACGCGGTTGGGTCTTTGCTTGGGGGGGGGGGGGGGTTGGTTGGCAGTCACGCGGTTGGGTCTTCGGTCTGGGAAGGGTGGGTATGTTGGCAGTCACACGGTTGGGTCTTCGGTCTGGGAAGGGTGGGTATGTTGGCAGTCACACGGTTGGGTCTTCGGTCTGGGGAGGGTGGGTATGTTGGCAGTCACGCGGTTGGGTCTACAGTCTGGGGAGGGTGGGTATGTTGGCAGTCACGCGGTTGGGTCTTTGGTCTGGGGAGGGTGGGTATGTTGGCAGTCACGCGGTTGGGTCTTCGGTCTGGGGAGGGTGGGTATGTTGGCAGTCACGCGGTTGGGTCTTTGGTCTGGGGAGGGTGGGTATGTTGGCAGTCACGCGGTTGGGTCTTCGGTCTGGGGAGGGTGGGTATGTTGGCAGTCACGCGGTTGGGTCTTCGGTCTGGGGAGGGTGGGTATGTTGGCAGTCACGCGGTTGGGTCTTTGGTCTGGGGAGGGTGGGTATGTTGGCAGTCGCGCGGTTGGGTCTTTGGTCTGGGGAGGGTGGGTATGTTGGCAGTCACGCGGTTGGGTCTTTGGTCTGGGAAGGGTGGGTATGTTGGCAGTCACGCGGTTGGGTCTTCGGTCTGGGGAGGGTGGGTATGTTGGCAGTCACGTGGTTGGGTCTTCGGTCTGGGGAGGGTGGGTATGTTGGCAGTCACGCGGTTGGGTCTTCGGTCTGGGGAGGGTGGGTATGTTGGCAGTCACGCGGTTGGGTCTTTGGTCTGGGAAGGGTGGGTATGTTGGCAGTCACGCGGCTGGGTCTTTGGTCTGGGAAGGGTGGGTATGTTGGCAGTCACGCGGTTGGGTCTTCGGTCTGGGGAGGGTGGGTATGTTGGCAGTCACGCGGTTGGGTCTTCGGTCAGGGGAGGGTGGGTATGTTGGCAGTCACGCGGTTGGGTCTTCGGTCTGGGGAGGGTGGGTATGTTGGCAGTCACGCGGTTGGGGTCTTCGGTCTGGGGAGGGTGGGTATGTTGGCAGTCACGCGGTTGGGTCTTCGGTCTGGGGAGGGTGGGTATGTTGGCAGTCACGCGGTTGGGTCTTCGGTCTGGGGAGGGTGGGTATGTTGGCAGTCACGCGGTTGGGTCTTCGGTCTGGGGAGGGTGGGTATGTTGGCAGTCACGCGGTTGGGTCTTTGGTCTGGGGAGGGTGGGTATGTTGGCAGTCACGCGGTTGGGTCTTTGGTCTGGGGAGGGTGGGTATGTTGGCAGTCACGCGGTTGGGTCTTTGGTCTGGGGAGGGTGGGTATGTTGGCAGTCACGCGGTTGGGTCTTTGGTCTGGGAAGGGTGGGTATGTTGGCAGTCACGCGGTTGGGTCTTCGGTCTGGGGAGGGTGGGTATGTTGGCAGTCACGCGGTTGGGTCTTCGGTCTGGGGAGGGTGGGTATGTTGGCAGTCACGCGGTTGGGTCTTCGGTCTGGGGAGGGTGGGTATGTTGGCAGTCACGCGGTTGGGTCTTTGGTCTGGGAAGGGTGGGTATGTTGGCAGTCACGCGGCTGGGTCTTTGGTCTGGGAAGGGTGGGTATGTTGGCAGTCACGCGGTTGGGTCTTCGGTCTGGGGAGGGTGGGTATGTTGGCAGTCACGCGGTTGGGTCTTCGGTCAGGGGAGGGTGGGTATGTTGGCAGTCACGCGGTTGGGTCTTCGGTCTGGGGAGGGTGGGTATGTTGGCAGTCACGCGGTTGGGTCTTCGGTCTGGGGAGGGTGGGTATGTTGGCAGTCACGCGGTTGGGGGTCTTCGGTCTGGGGAGGGTGGGTATGTTGGGAGTCTTGTTCAGGGTCGTAGAGTACTAGAAGTCAGCATGGTCTGTTTTTCTGTAGGATGCGGAGAATAAAGATCCAGCAGCATCAGACATTCAGCCGGGTGGCGATAACCAGCAGAGGCTTCCTCCACGCCGCTTCCGTCCCAGATGGCGCAGGTACACATGGGCACTAGAGAATTGGGTGCAGCCTATATGTATATCTGGAGGGGTGGTGGTTGGGGGTAAATTGTATTGCTTGACGCGATGCTGAGCCACTTTACGCTCGTCTTGTCAGCCCAATATTTCCAAACATCTTTAGTGCCCTAGACATGAACTGTTGGCCAGTCTAGTTCCACTTTTCTACTGCTTCAGGACTAATTGATGGTCCTCTCAGCTTGTGTGTGTGCGCGGTAGAGTGTTAGAGGTGGGAGGACATGGCGTAAGTTAAAGTGGACAAGTGTACTCTTTGCCCGGAGTGGTTCTCAATCAGGCATGCAATGTTTAATTTCATCTACTTCACATGTGATGGTGGCCTTTGGCTTGTTGCTAGTTGGTCCTTTAGGTCAGGTCTAACCTGTTTCCTAGTCTTCCTGACAGCCTTTCACCTGCGATGTGTAAGGCCTGACCCATCTGCTCAGCGTGTGGTCCCTAACTTTGCCCAGCATGAGGTGGGTTGAAGGGGTCCAGGTATATTCCGACTGGGCTTCCAGGAAGAGCCTTGTCTAAACCACCAGTGTATCCTCAGGATTCCCACCTCTCTCGCTTCCAGGGCAGGAAGAGAACCTGCCTCCTTCCAGCAGCTTTGTGGTGCCATTGTGGGCTTTGGTGGACCTTCACTATGGCCTTTGAATGTTTGACATCCAAGTTCAGCTACAAAGCTTCAAGCTTTACTCCACCATAGTCCAGGTTCTTGAAGTCTAACGGTGAGCACTCGGTGAGGCACTATGAAGGGGTTTTATAGAATTCCCTTCAAGCTTCTCATATTCCAGGTCTATGGAGATGTGGGCACAAATACCATCTACTCACTTCCACTGGCCTGAGGTTGCACATCTGAGCTTCCCAGTAGCTTGTGTGCATGGCCCCAATGCCTCATATGTGCAGTGCACTAGGGACAGTGCAGTGGTGGAATGGGCCGGTCCTTGGTAACCAGGCCTGAGGACTTGGAGCAGCATTTTAACACTTGACGAACCTGTTGGCCACCTTTTCTAATGTTCTTGTCATCTCAGACCTTTCCGCCCTCGACCCCCGCCAACACAGACTGCCGAAGGAGGAGAGAACGATGCCAAACCTAACGGAGCGCCCCGTCCAGAGCCTCAGCGTCAGAGGAATCGCCCATATTTCCAGCGTCGCAGGCGGGGAGGAGGGGCCCCAGGGCAGGCCGCACCCCCGGTGGGTTTTCTGGTACTTTTGCATAGATTCTTCTGGGGGTAATGAGGAAATTTCTAACTTGAACTTTTCTTCAGGGTGAGGAGAAAAGTGCAGCAGAGCCCAGCCAAAGCCCCTCCTCAGAAGATGCTCCGAAGCCATCGGGTAGCCCTGCGGAAGCTGGGAAGAGTCGAGCTGAGGTAGGTGTTGAACCATCTACTGTACTTGTCATGGCTGCCAGTTGGGTCCCGTCTGTCATGGCTGCCTATAAGTTCAGACCATTACCTTTTTTTACTGTAATAAAATTGGCTTTTTACCAAGCCCCGCCCTCTAGGTTAGATTTATGGAGGATGTCAGATTAACTTTCATGTTTTTCCATGAAGACTCAACCCTGATTGGTTGAGGCTGCAGACCTGTTACTTTCAGTGTCCAGAGCTCAGCCTGCTGGGTTAGTGTCTGTATTCCAGTATAAGAATTTTCTGGCCTGGACACTATGGAGCTTCTAGTAAAAGAACAATGTGTAGTAGAAGACCATGTGTGGTGCCCCTGATGGTGGGGATGGATGTTGCTGTTTGGTATTAATTCCAATATGTACTCCATTCAGGCCTCTACTCCACCCCCTGCTGTGGCAGCGGATGTCCCCGCTCCAGAGTGATCCCTCATATACCAGCTGCGTCTGTTATCAGGTATTGTAGAGGCAGGTGCCTCCCCTTGTATGAGCGATTTGTTGGGTGTCGTGGGAGGGGGGAGTGGATCGTCTCTTCTTGGGGTGCTGCTCTCCTCTATGGATTTTCTCTGTAAGGGTGATATGGGTGGTCTCGAGACAGGCTGTTCTTTAGGGGTGGGGTGTAGGTTGTCTCTTCTTGGGGTGGTGGGATGTGTGCTCTTCCCTGGTGGATGATAAAGGTGGTCCCTCCTTGGATGGGGTCTTCTCTAGGGGTGGGGGGTAGATGGGGTCTTCTTGGGATGATGTGCTCTTCTATGGAGAATGATGTGGGTGGTCCTTTGGGGCCAACTCTTCCTAGGTAGTGGGGTGTGGATGTGCTAGTCTATAAAGGAGACTGATGTGGGTTGTCTCTTAGGGCTGGCTATTCTCAAAGGGTGTGATGTGGTTGGGTCTCGGGGTGATGTGCTCTTCTATGGAAGGGAGTGATGTGGGGTAGTCCCTTGGGGCTGGCTCTTCTCTAGGGATGTGGATCTTCTCTTTTATGGAGGAGAATGTTGGTTGTCTCTTGGGGCTGGCTCTTCTCTAGGGTAGGTTATGGATGGTCTCTTCTTGATGTGGGTGATCCCTTGGGGCCAGCACTTAAGGGGTGCAGTGTGGATGTCCTCTTCTATGGAGAAGAATGATGTGGGTGGTCCCTTGGGACCAGCTCTTCCCAGGGGGAGTGGTGTGGATGTGCTCTTCTATGCAGAAGGATGATGTGGGTGGTCCCTTGGGGCCAGCTCTTCCTAGCGGGTGGGGGGGCGGGGGTGAAGAATGCAGATGGTCTCTTCTATTGAGAATGATGTGGGTGGTCTCCTGGGGCTGGCTCTTCTCTAGGGGTGGGGGTATGGATGGTCTCTCCTCGGCGTGATGTGCTCTTCTATGGAAGGGAGTGATGTGGGTAGTCTCTTGGGGCTGGCTGTTCTAGGGGTGGTGTGTGGATGGTCTCTTGTGGTGATGTTGGTGGCCTCTTTTCGGGGGGATTACAGGGACTTTGGTGTCTTTTGTAGTGTATGCTGTGCTCTCCTGACATGAAGTAATCTGCTGTGGCTTTAACACAAACTTTTCTTTTGCTCCCCATCAGGTGCCATGGATTTCCATCTTACTGCCGCATGCATCTTTGGAGCACAACGTGGGATGAAATGGAGCGTGTCACGGTGTATGGGATTGTTTGCACTTTAGGACTTTATTATTTCTTATTGCACTGACTTGTGCTGTAGTAAAGATGGAAGACCACAATCTGTGTCATGTGTTCAGTCTGTGGATGGGGTGTAAGGTGACTATGGGGAATGGTGGCTCTTGGGTTGGGTGCCTGCTGGTTCTGAGAAGAGGGTGTCTGACTGGAGAATGGTGGCTCTTGGCTTGGGTGCCTTCTGGTTCTGAGAAGAGAGTGTCTGACTGGGGAATGGTGGCTCTTGGGTTGGGTGCCTGCTGGTTCTGAGAAGAGGGTGTCTGACTGGAGAATGGTGGCTCTTGGGTTGGGTGCCTTCTGGTTCTGAGAAGAGGGTGTCTGACTGAAATCAAGGTGGTCTGGATGCTCCAGACAGTGGGTGTAAATGCATTCATCCCTGTAACCTCCAATACATGGGCTTCCTCACCCAGAACGTGAGTCTTTCCTGGGACTCCTCACCTAGCGTGTAGAGCCTTGGATGACAAGGTGCCTAGTATGTGTATCTTTAGATGGCCAGGCCATGTTATTCAACACATTAGAAAAATTCTGGGGTTAATCCCATGTCTGGGCATGTTCTCCACCCTCACCTAGAGAGAACCTTCAATGTTTTTACACTCAAATTTCCATTCTGCCTGGCATCACCACCCACCTCCAAAGTGCTTCCTGTACAGGAGCTGCTGGAAGGGCTTTGTGTCCCTCAGGGGCACCCTCTAGCACTAACCGGGGATGGCAGACAATGGTTACCCAGTACACAGATGGACAGCTGGTTGGGGTAACCAGTCTTGGCAGGAATAGTAGGTGCAGCACCAGTGAGTGGGTGTGATTTCATATTGAATGTAAGCAGGTGGGTCATACTGGAGATTACATACATCTGAGGCATACAGTAGACTGGGTGTCCTAACAAAGCTGGAGGAGCACCCCATGGCTCAGTTCTGGGACTATTCTCTTGCTATTTATGACTGTTTGGTGTTTTCAGCCCTTCCATCTTGTGTTGCCTGTGCTGGTCAGACTGCTTTGAATGACCCGGTGCTGCTTCTAGAACTTGATAAAACCACTTCTGTTGGTCCAGTTACTGCAAAGGGCACCAGAGCTGATCTACAACTGACCTCAGACATCCACTGTCTATGCTCCGACTTATCGGCAAGCAGAGGGGTATTTTAAAGCCTGATCTTGGTTCTGTAGTACATGGAATACCGTGGCCAACACCAACCAGGCTGCTTCTCATTGGGTGGAGGAGCAAAGAATAGAATCTGCATATAAGGTGCTACAAGCAAGCTTTTTGCCCAACGTTGGTTCTAGTAAACCTTGATCAGACCCAAACCCACCAGCAACTGCGGCTGGTGCCTTCAGCCTCTTTCTGGTGGTCTGTACTGGACCTGGAGGATGTCCCAATGCCAGACTCACCTGAATGTTCTAACTAAAGAGTGTGTAGAATCTTGTATTGGCGAATCCATCCTTCATGATCCTGAACCAAAAACCTACTACTTCCTGGGTGGCCGGCTCTTGTCAGGAAGAGGACCTACACCAGTTTATGGGTGACAGTGCATGACCCCCCACAATGCTGCCTTCTCATCTGTGGGCCTCAACTGCCTCTGATGAGGTGGTCTGAGTGGTGGAGCTGCCAAGGATGACTGCCTTGCTTCAGTCAATGTTCTCCATGAGGGGGAGGTGTTGTCCAGGTCTGTCAGTATTGCTGTCTGATGAATTCACACACCAGTGGCCCGCCCCCAAAGGGCGTGTTACAGGGACATTGATTATTATTGGTGGAAGAGCATGTAATGGTGTGTTCAGCTGTCATTATGAAGCTTCATCATCAGGTATTGGGCGGATGAAGCCTTTCCTGAATCATGGCTGCCAGCACCACAGAAGTGGGACATTGTTCTCAGACCTGCCAAACCTGTCCTTGTAATGTGCCGCCACACCAGGCTTGCTCAGCTGTGCAGGAGGAGACTCGGTACGGGGTTTGCTGGACTCAAAGGATTTTCTGAGAACTTCAGCTAGAAGTAAAGTGAAGGATATTGGCTCTATTCCATGACTAATTGCTGGTGGTCCTAAGGACAGCATTCCACTCCACCTGCTCCCCCCCGTGGCAATTCCTGCATGGATGGGCCACACGGCCCCCTTTCGATTGATCACTGCACCAATAATGCACATGACCCCTGTGGGTAATTGATACACTGATGGGGTGATTGCTGCATGGGTGAGGTCATTGTTACATGGAGGGTGCACATGGCCCCCTGTGAGGTGATCATGGTATTAAAGGGGTCTTTGTTCCATGGATGGGGCACTTGAGTCTCTGTGAGGGTGTTCACTGCATGGGAGAGGTACATGAACCCCTGTGAGGGTGTTCACTGCATGGGTGAGGTACATGACCCCGCCCCCCCGTGAGGGTGTTTGCTGCACGGGTGAGGTACATGACACCCCCCCCCCCATCCCCGTTAGGTGAATATGGCATTGAAGGGGTCTTTGAGGCACACGGCTCCCTGTGGGGTGATCATGGCATTGAAGGGGTCTTTGAGGCACACGGCTCCCTGTGGGGTGATCATGGCATTGAAGGGGTCTTTGAGGCACACGGCTCCCTGTGGGGTGATCATGGCATTGAAGGCGTCTTTGAGGCACACGGCTCCCTGTGGGGTGATCATGGCATTGAAGGGGTCTTTGAGGTACACGGCTCCCTGTGGGGTGATCATGGCCTTGAAGGGGTCTTTGAGGCACACGGCTCCCTGTGGGGTGATCATGGCCTTGAAGGGGTCTTTGAGGCACACGGCTCCCTGTGGGGTGATCATGGCCTTGAAGGGGTCTTTGAGGCACACGGCTCCCTGTGGGGTGATCATGGCCTTGAAGGGGTCTTTGAGGCACACTGCTCCCTGTGAGGTGAATATGGCCGTGAAGGGGTCTTTGAGGCACATGGCTCCCTGTGGGGTGATCATGGATGGGGCACAGGTGAGGCACACGGCTCCCTGTGGGGTGATCATGGATGGGGCACAGGTGAGGCACACGGCTCCCTGTGGGGTGATCATGGCAGTGAAGGGGTCTTTGAGGCACACGGCTCCCTGTGGGGTGATCATGGATGGGGCACAGGTGAGGCACACGGCTCCCTGTGGGGTGATCATGGATGGGGCACAGGTGAGGCACACGGCTCCCTGTGGGGTGATCATGGATGGGAGCACACAGACCCTTCCAGTGAGATCTGTCTGTGGTGGACTTGCCTCCCAGTGACTTCAGAGCCTCTTCTGCCATAAATTCTGCATTCCTTTTCTTTCGTTTACTTCTATCAATTGCTGTAGAGGACGTGCGTTCCATCAGGATAGTAATTACCCCACAGGGGCCCTGTGCACCTCATCTGGTAGTGACCAATCTGTAGAAGGTGCCCCCTCTGACTTCTCCTGCCATGTCTGGGTCGGGATTGGTTGCTATCACCGGTATTAGTGTGATGGTTTGAGTTGCTGCTCTTGTGTCCCTGTAAGCCAAAGCTAGTTTTGAGAAGGTCCTTGACTTCTGTACCCTGGCAGTAATCCAGCAGCTGTAAGTGCCACATGGCCTACCATGCTTTTACTTCATGGATTCAACATGTTCACTGCTAGTGCACTCATAGCTGTGCCCATGTCACCCCTAGGCTCATAGAGAACTCAGGCCTAGCTGCCCAAGTGGTCATGTTTCTCCACAGCCAATGTTAGCCGGCTCCTCTGCTGAGCCTTCCATAGAGAATGCTCTCCTACAAGATGGGGACATTGCTCAGGATTCTCCCTATCAGCTTTACTTGGCTCTAGGTGGTCCTCTGCAGTAACTGCGAGACGGTCTAAAGTAGGTCCTCACTGGGCTGAGGTTCTGTTTGCTGTACAGTTTAGACTGAGGAGGGATAAGCCGGACATGGCCCTGCTGATCACACTTGGTGTAGTACTTGGCTCCATAATGGAATGCTCCTGCATCCTGCCTGAGGGAACTTTCTGTTCTGTGTGATGAACTCTGTGAATCCCATCCATTAAGTAATGATGATGCTGCTTCTTCATGGCTTCATAATGAACGCCGTATAATGTGGGATCCTGGAGAAGGCCTCAGTCTGGTGTGGATCCTGCAGAGGGCTTCCTCTTTATGTGGATCTTGCAGAAGGCTCCTTTCTCAGGTGGATCCTGCAGAAGGTCTCCTTATATGCAATGTGTAGAAGACTCTGATGATGATCCACAATGTAGCCATGAGCCTCCTGAATGAAGTGGTTACTGTCCCTTGGGTTGGGCACCTCTAGAGGAAGCCTTGTCATTGGTTGGGGATGTCTCGATCTGTAGCAGAGTGCAAGGTAGACGTAGCACTTGGTGTCCTAGAAGACCCTCCACCCTGCCTACCTTCAGCTAGCATCCAGAAGGTTCGGTTGCACGAATACTGACTTCCTATTGGTCTGTTCCTGTGTTCTGCGTCACTGACCAATAGCAATGGTTGAGGTTTTATTTGTGTAATCAGGCTGCCTGGGTTTGGGTCTTCCAGGCCGGGTCAGAAGCTGCCTACTCCCTCCTGATAGCGGAGGAGTACATTTATCGGGACACACAGGCCTGTTCTAGGGAGAACCTGTACTAGATTTTCATCACGAGTCCCATCCAGAGTAATTCTAATGTGACCTTCTCTATGGTCAGGTAGGTTCTCCCTTTGGTGGAGTCTTTTAATCAAGGAGTGATATTCGTGCCTCTGCTGAAATAAGATCATTTAACCACCATGGACCTCCGACATTTAGAGTGGACTTGATAGACTTTTGTTGTGAGAATGGAACAGTAAAGTGCAATCTCTGTGCAGCACCACAAAGCATCAACTCCGATCAGCCATAACATTCTGATTACTGACAGGTAAAGGGAATAACATGGATCACCTCCTTACAATGGCAGCTGAAAGTGGGTGGGATATATTAGGGAGCAAGTGAGCATGTTGTCCCTGAAGTTGATGTGATGAAAGCAAAACAAATGGACAAGTGTAAGGGTTGGAGGGACTTTTAGACATTACACTTTGGTCCTTGTCAGACGACAGAGGCAGAGCAACTCCAAAACTGACGCTCTTATGGGATGTTCCCCGTCTACAGTGGTCAGGACTGACCAAAATTGGTCCAAAGAAGGAGAAATGGCCAACCAGTGACAGAGTCATGGGGGAGAGGCTCCAGGATGGAGGTGTGGGAGGGAAGGCTCATTGATGGAGGTGGGCAGGGAAGGCTCACTGGTGGAGGTGGGAAAGGGAAAGCTCATTGGTGGAAGTGGGGGGGTGGGAGGGAAGGCTCATTGATGGAGGTAGGCGAGGGATGGCTCCTTGGTGGAGGTGGGGAACGAAGGCTCTATGATGGAGGTGGAGAGGGATGGCTAATTGATTTGAGGGAAGGGAAGGCTCCTTGATAAAGGTGGGGAGGGAAAGCTCATTGGTGGAGGTGGGGGGGTGGGAAGGCTCACTGATGGAGGTGAGGAGGAAAGGCTCATTGATGGAGGTGGGTGTGGGATGGCACCTTGGTGGAGGTGGGCGAGGGATGGCTCCTTGGTGGAGGGAAGGCTCATTGATGGAGAGTTTTAGGTGTTGACTTGGCCTTCAAATTCTCCAGATCTCAATCCATCAAGCATCTGTGGGATGTGCTGGAAAATCAAGTCATCCGATCCATGGAGGCCCCACCTCCCAACTTAGAGGACTTAAAGGATCTGCTACTGCTGGCTTAGCACCGATACCCCAGCGTACCTTCAGAGGACTAGTAGGGTACATGGTAGGACGGGTCAGGAAAGGGGGACCTCCCCAGTATGAGGTGGGTGGTGGTCATGTTATGGCTGATCGGGGTATAAGCACATACTCTACAGTGCCCGGAACATCTGCGGAAACCATGGCATGTACCTCATAATTTATTATCACAGCAGAAATATATACAGATTTATACATAATATATACCTCTATAGGACACATTGCACCCAAAATGGCTTCTGCTCCCCTGTAGGCCTCTGTGGTGGACACGCTCTAAGGGGGAACTCTGCCATTTCTCGGGTGATAGGAAAACATGAGCAAATATTAAATTATACATAATATATGAAAATCTAGCTAGGTCAGAGTGTTAGGTTCCAGTGCTTCCTGTACGAGGTCGCGGTTGTTGCTGTACGGCATGTGCAGTGATTTCTAGGAGCTGAGACTACCCTTGGCGTCATCCCTGGTATTCATATGTAATCACACATAATATGTTGGCTATGAACCTTCTCACCACATACACTGGCTGTATGACTCCTGGTCACCTTCTGGAAATGGAAAGAGCCTGCCGATGATGGAGTTGGGGGTAGCTGCCTCCTTCCAGCTCCTTGACCTTGTTATCTAGAGCTGGCACTCCTAACAAGTACAGAATAGCACTGCACCGTCCGTAGGCCGCGACCCCTTCAGAACGTTTTGGTGAGTTCAGTCAAGTTTTTGTCCTGCATTAGTCTTTGCTCCAGGCAGGTGCCTTCAGAGCTTCCCGACAATGCTTCGCTCAGGATGGGTTCTCGCTTTATGCATCGTCTCCACCGCCAAGACTGTCCAGCTCGGTGCTGGCCTTAATCTCGTGGTCCAACAACGAGGGGTTCCTTCTACGAAAAGCATGAGCAATCTCATCAAACGATCTTCCTCTGGTTTCCGGGACGCGGAAATATGTGAATATCAAGAAACCCAACAATAACGAGGCAAAGAGGAGGAAGACATAGGGCCCACAGAGGTCCTGAAAATGAAAAGTTGAGAAGATGAGTTATGGAGCATCTTCAAGCTTACCCCCTCATATCGTGATAACAGCGATCACCTACTGGGTATCTAAAGGTCGTGTAGGTAGTGACCGTCGCCCTCTACGGGTCGATGAATGGGAGCGTTCTACTGTATCTTATGGAGACATTATAAAACTGATCCAATAAATGAGTCTGACAGATAAAATGTTTCGGTTTCTTACCGCAATGTATGGGAATCCCATCCCAATGATGAAGTTCGATGTCCAGTTGGTAAATCCAGCAATGGCCATGGCTGCAGGCCGAGGACCTTGACTAAAGAGTTCAGCCACAATAAACCACGGAATAGGACCGGGCCCGACCTCGAAGAACGCCACAAATCCAAAAACAGCGGCCATGCTGAGGGAGCTGATGGCGGGGATGGTTTCCTGGAGGGGTGGAAGGAAAAAAAATGCTGACACGATTTCCACGTCAAACGGCAACCCAACCAATTTTCTTACACTGGAACATGTATGGCTTCTAGCACCTCAGCGGGTTCTGTTATCCATTATCAATGTGAACGTCTGCTCCAGTGCAGGAATGTCTGGCTTTACCTTGTGACCCCCACCCCCCCAGGGGACCCAGTGTACCCAGACACCTTCTCACCTGTAGGACCATGGCCACCGTCATTAATAAGGCACATAGGATCATCCCCACTAGGCCCACCAGGTGCAGGGTCCGTCTTCCTGCCCTCTCCACTAGGAAAAGCTGCAAAGAAAACAACGAGAGCCCAAAGTCATGGAAGACAACCAGAAACTGGCCAGAACGTGGCAGAGGTTCTACAAATGGATGGATACAACCAAGTAGGACCCAAAGGAGACCTCTTAGACATGAATAGGAGGTGTGATGGTGACTCCTGGTGGGAGGGGGGGGGGAGGGGAAGAACAAAGGACAGACGTGTGTGAGATGGAATGGAGCCCTAGGCATGGTAGCAGCTTTGCTCAACCTTCATAAGAATGCACAGAGAAGTCGCCCCGTCCATACTGTCTGTACCGGCATGGCCACACCCACCAGACACTAACCGCCTAGCTGGACCCACTGCGCTGCCCCCGGGTTTACTGCAGGAGAACAGGAGGGCAGGAGAACAGGAGGACAGGAGAACAGTAGGGCGGGAGAACAGGAGGGCGGGAGGGCAGGGGAACAGGAGGATAGGAGAACTGGAGGGCAGGACAGGAGGTCAAGAGAACGGGAGGGCAAGAGAACAGGAGGGCGGGAGAACAGGAGGGCGGGAGGGCAGGAGAACAGGAGGGCAGGAGAACAGGAGGGCAGGAGGATAGGAGAACTGGAGGGCAGGACAGGAGGTCAAGAGAACGGGAGGGCAGGAGAACGGGAGGGAAAGAGAACGGGAGGGCGGGAGGACAGGAGGGTAGGAGGACAGGAGGGCAAGAGAACAGGAGGGCGGGAGGGCAGGAGGATAGGAGAACTGGAGGGCGGGAGAACAGGAGGGCAGGAGAACAGGAGGGCGGGAGAACAGGGGGCGGGAGAACAGGAGGGCAGGAGAGCGGGAGGGCAGGAGAACAGGAGGGCGGAAGAACGGGAGGACAGGAGGGCGGGAGGGCAAGAGAATGGGAGGGCAGGAGACCGGGAGGGCAGGAGGACAGGAGGGCAAGAGAACAGGAGGGCAGGAGGGCGGGAGAAAAAGAAGACAGGAGGGCAGGAGAACAGGAGAATAGGAGGACAGGAAGGCAGGAGGGCGGGAGGACAGGAGGGCAAGAGAACAGGGGGGAAAGAGAACAGGAGGGCGGAGGAACAGGAGGGCGGGAGAAAAGGAGGGCAAGAGAACAGGATGGCGGGAGAAACAGTAGAACAAAAGGGTAGGAGAACAGGAGGGCAGAACAGGAGGGTAGGAGGGTAGGAGAAAAGGAGGACAGGAGGGTGGGAGGGCAGGAGGATAGGAGGGCAGGAGAACAGGAGGGTAGGAGAAAAGGAGGACAGGAGGGTAGGAGAACGGGAGGGGCAGAAGAACAGGAGGGCAGGAGAACAGGAAGGCAAGAGAACAGGAGGGTAGGAGAAAAGGAGAACAGGAGGGTAGGAGAACAGGAGAGCGGGAGGGCAGGAGAACAGGAGGATAGGAGAAAAGGAGGACAGGAGGGTAGGTGGGAGGGCAGGAGGACAGGAGGGCAGGAGAACAGGAGGGTAGAAGGACAGGAGGGTAGAACGGGCCCCCTGGACACCCTGCAGGCATTGGGCTCCATCCTAGGATTCCTGGTGTGAGCCTCATGGTGGCCGACGTTCCTTGAGGAGGTTCCTGGGCGTCACACAGGATTTTCCTACATAAACCTCTCGCCGGTAACGGGCCCCGCCGGCCCCAATGGCCCCACATTCATCATCGACTTGTAAACTCATTTCCCTTCATTGTGTTCATTCCTTGTTCTAATTCTTCCAATGAGTTCAAAGTATTCAAATCAAATTTGACTGGAAAATATCGAATTGATCCGAATTCCTTGTGAAGAACAGCTGCTTCTATCCTATTCCAATTCTGAAAGACGGTTACATTCTATTGTATTCTGTTCTTTTTGAAATTTGAATTTCAGGAGATGGTTATAATCTATTCTATTTTTGTTATTCTACGCTTTAAAATTCTATTCTGTTTTATTCTATTCCTTTTCAAAATTCGAATTTTGAAAGAAGGCTATATTTTATTTTGTCCTATTCTATTCTTTTCTATTCTTTTATTTTCTATTCTAATCTTTTCTATTTTTTTTATTTTCTATTCTATTCTATTCCTTATTTTCTAATCTATTCTATTTTTTCTATTCTGTTCTTTTTAAAATTCAAATTTCGTTAGACGGTTATAATCTATATTTTTTTTTTATTCTACTCTATTGTATTTTTTTTCTTTTCTTTTCCATTCTTTTCTATTCTGTTTTATTCTAGTCTTTTCAAAATTAGAATTTTGGAAGAAGGCTATATTCTTTCTATTTTGTCCTGTTCTATTCTAGTCCTTTATTTTCTATTTTAACCCTAACTCTAATATATTCTAATTTTTTTTCTTTTTCTATTCTGTTTTAGTCTTTTATTTTCTATTATATTCTATTTTTTTCATTTATCTATCCTGTTCTTTTCCTTATTTTCTGATCAATTCTGTTTTTTCTATTCTGTTCCTTTCGAAATTTGAATTTCATAAGACGGTTATAATATATATTTTTTTCCTATTCTACGCTATTGTATTTTTTTCTTTCCTTTTCTTTTCCATTCTTTTCTATTCTATTCTGTTTTATTCTATTCTTTTTGAAATTTGAATTTTGGAAGAAGGCTATATTCTCTCTAGTTTGCCCTATTCTATTCTTTTCTATTCCTTTATTTTCTATTATGTTCTAATTTTTATTCTATTCTATTTTTTATTTTCTATTCTTCTCTTTGTTTTCTTATATATTCTATTTTTGTTTTCTATTCTTTTTAAATTTCAGAAGACAATTATAATACATATATTTTTTCCTATTCTACTCCATTGTATTGTTTTTTTTTCTCTTCTTTTTCACCCTTTTCTTTTCTTTTTCTATTCTATTCCGTTCTATTCTATTTTCTCTCCTTTTCTGTTCTCTTCTCCGTCATTCTATTCTGTTTTATTCTATTCTATTCAAAATTCAGAAGAGGACTATATTCTAACACTAACACAAGTCTTTGAGAGGAATCGGCAATATGTTTACATTACGAATTCAGTTTGTATAGTTTGTTATTTCGGATTTCTATTGTAATTTGGACTTTCGGATACATCTGAATCTCTGAATAATGAAAGTTTTGTCAGAATTTTGATTAGTAATGAAATGAATTGCACATGACTACTCATCCCAGCATTCGCATGCTCCTCTAATAGTTGCCCTAAGAAGCCTCATCACCCCGGTGGACCGATTTACAAGCTTAAACTTTATGCCCCGCCCCCGAGGAGCCTTATGTAGCATTTTCAGTAAACTCAGCAGCCTGTGACCTCTGAGGCACGGAGCCGAGATTAGTTCCAACTCCTCTGTGCATGATAATGGCTGCTTCCCAATATGAAAGCCAACCCAATCCTCTCCACTCCTTCCTCTTCTACACAGAAGATCAGCAGAAAGAAGATCCCGCTGGTAATATTTCTGGTCACCGTGGATTCCACCAAATAGTGGTGGGATCTCGTGTATGACAGGAAGTAGCCCTGTGCAGCCAGGATGGTAGAGAGACCTTGGACGGTGTCATGGAGAGATACAGAGAATGGAAATAGATCTCGTACCGACACCACAGTAAATGCCGTGTTGACGATTCCGGCCCCAATTGTTGCGTAGATTGGCTGATCCACCCCGGCTTTAGAAAAGATATCGGTGGAGTAATAGAAGATCTGAGGAAAGACAACGAGAACCATCACAGCGGGGAAAATGCCACCCACACCTCAATCTCCTGATCACATTGCTGAGGAACTTCAAATATGAAGGCAAGTGGAGAAGACTCACCGCATTGATTCCGGACAGTTGTTGGGATAGTTGGAGGATTATGGCCACAATGATGGGTTGCCGGTATTGTCTGGATCTGAAGATCTGCAGGATGGAGACTTTCTGCTCTGTGTCCATCTGTCTCTTCTCTTCCTTCATCTCGGAGAGGGCATCCGATACATCCATGAGACCGGTGAGACGCCGCAGACCTGGGAAACGGGTGACGAGCCATGTCAGGAGACCACCATACTTATTGTCATCGGTACACGCCATTCTGTGATCACCTGTACTCCAATATACTCCACTCATACTGTGCTCAGGAAAATATCATGATCTCAATGTACCCTTGGGTAGGTACACTGAATGCCACTTACTGGTCTTGGCATGTCCCTCCTGCTCACAGACAATGTACAGGAAGCGAGGGCTCTCCGGACAAAATGGCAGCAACACTGACTGCAGAGCAGCTGGGATTAGAGTCACCCAGAAGAGGACCGGCCACCGAGAGTTTGTGCCCAAGAACGATTCCAGACCCAGAACCTGAGAGACAAGACACAAGGTGAAGAAAAGAGACACGAAGGTGGGGAGACGATCGGGAAACAAAGGAAGAATGGGATTGCCATCCATCAGATTACCTGAGCCACAAGAATACCGATGACCAGTGATAGCTGGTGGAGGGTGCCCAGCGCCCCTCGGAGGTGTGTCGGGGAAATCTCTCCTACATACATTGGAACCAACCCAGAGGCCAGACCTGGCATGACAAAGAGAACGTGTCACTGAGACATCATGGGGAGGAGATGGAACAAATGCAGCAAAGAGAAGGTCCAACAGATCGGTGTCACATTACATAATGAAGACATTACAACACGCACATGATATGTGAGCCGGCCCTCAAACCATTTACATCAGGTGGCCACACAGAGCCAATATCCTGAAAGTTGGTGATGTCATGTCACCACTCAGATCCAAGGAAGTGAAAGTTGGCGATGTCATGTGACCACTCAGATCCAAGGAAGTGAAAGTTGGCGATGTCATGTGACCACTCAGATCCAAGGAAGTGAAAGTTGGCGATGTCATGTGACCACTCAGATCCAAGGAAGTGAAAGTTGGCGATGTGGTGATGTCATGTGACCACTCAGATCCAAGGAAGTGAAAGTTGGCGATGTCATGTGACCACTCAGATCCAAGGAAGTGAAAGTTGGCGATGTCATGTGACCTCTCAGATCCTAGGAAGTGAAAGTTGGTGATGTCATGTGACCTCTCAGATCCTAGGAAGTGAAAGTTGGTGATGTGGTGATGTCATGTGACCACTCAGATCCAAGGAAGTGAAAGTTGGCGATGTCATGTGACCTCTCAGATCCTAGGAAGTGAAAGTTGGCGATGTGGTGATGTCATGTGACCTCTCAGATCCAAAGAAAATGAAAGTTGGTGATGTGGTGATGTCATGTGACCACTCAGATCCAAGGAAGTGAAAGTTGGCGATGTGGTGATGTCATGTGACCACTCAGATCCAAGGAAGTGAAAGTTGGCGATGTCATGTGACCTCTCAGATCCAAGGAAGTGAAAGTTGGTGATGTCATGTGACCTCTCAGATCCAAGGAAGTGAAAGTTGGTGATGTCATGTGACCTCTCAGATCCAAGGAAGTGAAAGTTGGTGATGTGGTGATGTCATGTGACCTCTCAGATCCAAGGAAGTAAAAGTTGGCGATGTATGAATGTCATGTGACCACTCAGATCCAAGGAAATGACAGTTGGCGATGTGGTGAAGTCATGTGACCTCTCAGATCCAAGGAAATGAAAGTTGGCGATTTGGTGATGTCATGTGACCACTCAGATCCAAGGAAGTGAAAGTTGGCGATGTGGTGATGTCATGTGACCACTCAGATCCAAGGAAGTGAAAGTTGGCGATGTGGTGATGTCATGTGACCACTCAGATCCAAGGAAGTGAAAGTTGGCGATGTGGTGATGTCATGTGACCACTCAGATCCAAGGAAGTGAAAATTGGCGATGTGGTGATGTCATGTGACCACTCAGATCCAAGGAAGTGAAAGTTGGCGATGTGGTGATGTCATGTGACCACTCAGATCCAAGGAAGTGAAAGTTGGTGATGTGGTGATGTCATGTGACCACTCAGATCCAAGGAAGTGAAAGTTGGCGATGTGGTGATGTCATGTGACCATGTAGAATGTAGTTAAATTATATCTAAAGCCAGAATTTTGCTTCTTTTAGCTTTAGATAGAGATGTAGTAGGTGGGGGATGGTACCCTGTCAATGTATTTTTCTCTCTCCATCCATTTCCCATTAAGGTGACTTCCCTTCATGTCTTGTTCTGTAAACACAACAGGAAGTGAAAGGAAATCTTAGCCAGTAGTCACCAGAAATTTGAGGATGTCTCATTCGTTGCTGTTCTGGTGCCAATTCAAAAATGTTGGATTTCTCATCAATTTCTGTATCGGGAACAATGGTCACCAGGATGAAAAGGGTGACTCTCCACATCAGGGACAGAGACAATAATGAAGAACCAACCCCACACCACTCCAGTGGCTGTAGATACATGTGGGACAGAGATGTCATGTGATAACTCAGAGATGATGAGTTGTCAGATGACCTTGGCGATGGTATTTGTTGACCCCAGAAGCTTGAGAAGGTCTACAAGGACCTCTCTTGGACAATAGTGTCCAATCGGTGGCCTGCAGTGTCATTGTACTGTGCGATATCTTCCGATGGTCTGTGTTCACCTCTCCTACCTGAATATACTCCAATAACGAACCTTCCCAGGATCATCATCTCATACGACTGGCTGATCTGACATAGTCCCATCATGGTCCCACCAACGAAGGCAAAGATATTATTCACAATCATGGCTCTCTTCCTGGTCAGGGGTGGAAGGAAAGAAAGACAAACACCATCAGCACAGAAACAAGAGACTCCATGTTCTCTCTGCTCCCGACTTTGATTCTAGTATAACTCACATCATTGTAAGGATCTGCAATTCTGTCCAGCCAGTCCGGAGATGTACGCACCTGACTGATCGAACTGCACAGCCAGGAAGGTGATTATTTCCAGGATCAATTCCCTCCTCATTGGATAGAGGTGAGGATAAAGGTTCAATGCTTAGTGACCCTTCGTGCTTACATCACCCTGGACCTCCTTCCCTCATACTCCTCATATTCCTGATCTCCGTGTACATCCTCCTGGACCTCCTTCCCTCATACTCCTCATATTCCTGATCTCCATGTACATCCTCCTGGACCTCCTTCCCTCATACTCCTCATATTCCTGATCTCCGTGTACATCACCCTGGACCTCCTTCCCTCATACTCCTCATATTCCTGATCTCCGTGTACATCACCCTGGACCTCCTTCCCTCATACTCCTCATATTCCTGATCTCCGTGTACATCCTCCTGGACCTCCTTCCCTCATACTCCTCATTCCTGATCTCCGTGTACATCCTCCTGGACCTCCTTCCCTCATACTCCTCATATCCTGATCTCCGTGTACATCATCCTGGATCTCCTTCCCTGAAATTCCTCATATTCCTGATCTCCGTGTACATCATCCTGGATCTCCTTCCCTCATATTCCTGATCTCCGTGTACATCATCCTGGATCTCCTTCCCTGACATTCCTCATATTCCTGATCTCCGTGTACATCATCCTGGATCTCCTTCCCTCATATTCCTGATCTCCGTGTACATCATCCTGGATCTCCTTCCCTCATATTCCTGATCTCCGTGTACATCACCCTGGATCTCCTTCCCTCATACTCCTCATATTCCTGATCTCCGTGTCCATCATCCTGGATCTCCTTCCCTCATACTCCTCATATTCCTGATCTCCGTGTACATCACCCTGGATCTCCTTCCCTCATATTCCTCATATTCCTGATCTCCGTGTACATCACCCTGGACCTCCTTCCCTCATACTCTCCATATTCCTGATCTCCGTGTACATCACCCTGGATCTCCTTCCCTCATATTCCTGATCTCCGTGTACATCACCCTGGATCTCCTTCCCTCATATTCCTGATCTCCATGTACATCACCCTGGATCTCCTTCCCTCATATTCCTGATCTCCGTGTACATCACCCTGGATCTCCTTCCCTCATACTCTCCATATTCCTGATCTCCGTGTACATCATCCTGGATCTCCTTCCCTCATATTCCTGATCTCCGTGTCCACCATCCTGGATCTCCTTCCCTCATATTCCTGATCTCCGTGTACATCATTCTGGATCTCCTTCCCTCATACTCATCATATTCTTGATCTCCGTGTACTTCATTCTGGATCTACCCCCTCATACTCCTCATATTCCTGATCTCCGTGTACATCATCCTGGATCTCCTTCCCTCATATTCCTGATCTCCATGTACATCACCCTGGATCTCCTTCCCTCATATTCCTGATCTCCATGTACATCACCTGGATCTCCTTCCCTCATATTCTCCTCATATTCCTGATCTCCGTGTACATCATCCTGGATCTCCTTCCCTCATATTCCTGATCTCCGTGTACATCATCCTGGATCTCCTTCCCTCATACTCATCATATTCTTGATCTCCGTGTACATCATCCTGGATCTCCTTCCCTCATATTCCTGATCTCCGTGTACATCATCCTGGATCTCCATCCGTTATACTCCTCATATTCCTGATCTCCGTGTACATCATCCTGGACCTCCTTCCCCCTCATACTCCTCATATTCCTGATCTCCGTGTACATCACCCTGGACCTCCTTCCCTCATACTCCTCATATTCCTGATCTCCGTGTACATCACCTGGACCTCCTTCCCTCATATTCCTGATCTCTGTGTCCAACATCCTGGATCTCCTTCCCTCATATTCCTGATCTCCGTGTACATCATTCTGGATCTTCCCTCATACTCATCATATTCTTGATCTCCGTGTACTTCATTCTGGATCTCCTTCCCTCATACTCCTCATATTCCTGATCTCCGTGTACATCATCCTGGATCTCCTTCCCTCATACTCATCATATTCTTGATCTCCGTGTACATCATCCTGGATCTCCTTCCCTCATATTCCTGATCTCCGTGTACATCACCCTAGATCTCCTTCCCTCATACTCATCATATTCTGATCTCCGTGTGTACATCATCTTGGATCTCCTTCCCTCATATTCCTGATCTCCGTGTACATCATCCTGGATCTCCTTCCCTGACATTCCTCATATTCCTGATCTCCGTGTACATCATCCTGGATCTCCTTCCCTCATATTCCTGATCTCCGTGTACATCATCCTGGATCTCCTTCCCTCATATTCCTGATCTCCGTGTCCATCACCCTGGATCTCCTTCCCTCATACTCTCCATATTCCTGATCTCCGTGTACATCACCCTGGATCTCCTTCCCTCATATTCCTGATCTCCGTGTACATCATCCTGGATCTCCTTCCCTCATATTCCTGATCTCCGTGTACATCACCCTGGATCTCCTTCCCTCATATTCCTCATATTCCCTGATCTCCGTGTACATCACCCTGGACCTCCTTCCCTCATACTCTCCATATTCCTGATCTCCGTGTACATCATCCTGGATCTCCTTCCCTCATATTCCTGATCTCCGTGTACATCACCCTGGATCTCCTTCCCTCATATTCCTGATCTCCGTGTACATCATTCTGGATCTCCTTCCCTCATACTCATCATATTCTTGATCTCCGTGTACTTCATTCTGGATCTCCTTCCCTCATACTCCTCATATTCCTGATCTCCGTGTACATCACCTGGATCTCCTTCCCTCATACTCATCATATTCTTGATCTCCGTGTACATCATCCTGGATCTCCTTCCCTGACATTCCTCATATTCCTGATCTCCGTGTACATCATCCTGGATCTCCTTCCCTCATACTCCTCATATTCCTGATCTCCGTGTACATCATCCTGGATCTCCTTCCCTCATATTCCTGATCTCTGTGTACATCATCCTGGATCTCCTTCCCTCATATTCCTGATCTCCGTGTACATCATCCTGGATCTCCTTCCCTCATATTCCTGATCTCCGTGTACATGACCCTGGATCTCCTTCCCTCATACTCCTCATATTCCTGATCTCCGTGTACATCACCCTGGATCTCCTTCCCTCATACTCCTGATCTCCGTGTACATCATCCTGGATCTCCTTCTCTCATATTCCTGATCTCCGTGTACATCACCCTGGATCTCCTTCCCTCATATTCCTGATCTCCGTGTACATCACCCTGGATCTCCTTCCCTCATATTCCTCATATTCCTGATCTCCGTGTACATCACCCTGGACCTCCTTCCCTCATACTCTCCATATTCCTGATCTCCGTGTACATCACCCTGGATCTCCTTCCCTCATACTCCTCATATTCCTGATCTCCGTGTACATCACCCTGGATCTCCTTCCCTCATACTCCTGATCTCCGTGTATATCATCCTGGATCTCCTTCTCTCATATTCCTGATCTCCGTGTACATCACCCTGGATCTCCTTCCCTCATATTCCTGATCTCCGTGTACATCACCCTGGATCTCCTTCCCTCATATTCCTGATCTCCGTGTACATCACCCTGGATCTCCTTCCCTCATACTCTCCATATTCCTGATCTCCGTGTACATCATCCTGGATCTCCTTCCCTCATATTCCTGATCTCCGTGTCCACCATCCTGGATCTCCTTCCCTCATATTCCTGATCTCCGTGTACATCACCCTGGATCTCCTTCCCTCATACTCCTCATATTCCTGATCTCCGTGTACATCAACCTGGACCTCCTTCCCTCATACTCCTCATATTCCTGATCTCCGTGTACATCATCCTGGATCTCCTTCCCTCATACTCCTCATATTCCTCATCTCCGTGTCCATCATCCTGGATCTCCTTCCCTCATATTCCTGATCTCCGTGTACATCATCCTGGACCTCCTTCCCTCATACTCCTCATATTCCTGATCTCCGTGTCCATCACCCTGGATCTCCTTCCCTCATACTCCTCATATTCCTGATCTCCGTGTCCATCATCCTGGATCTCCTTCCCTTCCATATTCCTGATCTCCGTGTCCATCATCCTGGATCTCCTTCTCTCATATTCCTGATCTCCGTGTACATCATCCTGGATCTCCTTCCCTCATACTCCTCATATTCCTGATCTCCGTGTCCATCATCCTGGATCTCTTTCCCTCATATTCCTGATCTCCGTGTACATCATCCTGGACCTCCTTCCCTCATACTCCTCATATTCCTGATCTCCGTGTCCATCATCCTGGATCTCCTTCCCTCATATTCCTGATCTCCGTGTCCATCATGCTGGATCTCCTTCCCTCATATTCCTGATCTCCGTGTACATCACCCTGATCTCCTTCCCTCATACTCCTCATATTCCTGATCTCTGTGTACATCACCCTGGATCTCCTTCTATCATACTCATCATATTCCTGATCTCCGTGTACATCATCCTGGATCTCCTTCCCTCATACTCCTCATATTCCTGATCTCCGTATACATCACCCTGGATCTCCTTCCCTCATACTCCTCATATTCCCGATCTCCGTGTCCATCATCCTGGATCTCCTTCCCTCATATTCCTGATCTCCGTATACATCACCCTGGATCTCCTTCCCTCATACTCCTCATATTCCTGATCTCCGTGTACATCATCCTGGATCTCCTTCCCTGACATTCCTCATATTCCTGATCTCCGTGTACATCATCCTGGATCTCCTTCCCTCTTATTCCTGATCTCCGTGTACATCATCCTGGATCTCCTTCCCTCATATTCCTGATCTCCGTGTACATCATCCTGGATCTCCTTCCCTCATATTCCTGATCTCCGTATACATCACCCTGGATCTCCTTCCCTCATACTCCTCATATTCCTGATCTCCGTGTAAATCATCCTGGATCTCCTTCCCTCATACTCTTCATATTTTATGAATTCCGTCTACATTGCCTTGACTCCCATTTGCTGGTCATCCACAACTTACCTTCCCAGCCACTGGGACACGACCCCGACACCCAGAGAAGACACCATGCCCCCGATGGAGAATATGGCCACGGAGAGCGACCACAAAGTGCGCAGGAGGCCAACATCGATGGAATGCGACTCTGGACTGTTCCGAATGATGTAAGATTCATTGTAGCTTTGTTCGATGATCTGAGAGAGAAATCACGAGGTACAGATCATTATTATTGCACCCCCATACCATGGACAGGAAGTCAGATGTGTGCAGGGAAAGATTTTCCTTTCAGGAGAACTTTAGTATCTCAGTTCTGATGGACTGACACTATAGACATGGAAACCGACTTGTATTTGAATGGAATCACGTCTTACATTTCAGCATCACAAACACACAAAGCCGGCAGCTGCTTCTCCCGTAATCCGGGATCCAAGGACTCGGCTGTCCCCATAGTTTGTGGCACATGATGTGACATTTCAGGAGCTGAGATAACTGAATGTCCTTGTAATGTAGACGCGCACTTCACACCTTCTATAACTTCTATATTGCTCCCTGAGGATCGGCCCAGCCAAGGTCTCCTCCCGGGGATCGGGGCCTCCTCCTCATCTAAGCAGATGGAAAGCAACCTAACCTATGACTGGATTTCCAAACTATGACTAACCCTATGGATATCACACCTCCACTATAAATGTACACTGAGCTGAGGGTCGGGATATCTAACCTCCACTATACTCTACACTGGGCTGAGGGTCGGGATATCTGACCTCCACTATACTCTACACTGGGCTGAGGGTCGGGATATCACACCTCCACTATAATGTACACCGGGCTGAGGGTCGGGATATCTGACCTCCACCATACTCTACACAGGGCTGAGGGTCGGGATATCACACCTCCACTATAAATGTACACTGAGCTGAGGGTCGGGATATCTGACCTCCACCATACTCTACACAGGGCTGAGGGTCGGGATATCACACCTCCACCATACTCTACACTGGGCTGAGGGTCGGGATATCTGAACTCCACTATACTCTACACTGGGCTGAGGGTCGGGATATCTGACCTCCACTATACTCTACACTGGGCTGAGGGTCGGGATATCTCACCTCCACTATACTCTACACTGGGCTGAGGGTCGGGATATCACACCTCCACTATACTCTACACTGGGCTGAGGGTCGGGATATCACACCTCCACTATACTCTACACTGGGCTGAGGGTCGGGATATCTCACCTCCACTATGCTCTACACTGGGCTGAGGGTCGGGATATCTGACCTCCACTACACTCTACACTGGGCTGAGGGTCGGGATATCACACCTCCACTATACTCTACACTGGGCTGAGGGTCGGGATATCTGACCTCCACTATACTCTACACTGGGCTGAGGGTCGGGATATCTGACCTCCACTATACTCTACACTGGGCTGAGGGTCGGGATATCTGACCTCCACTATACTCTACACTGGGCTGAGGGTCGGGATATCACACCTCCACTATACTCTACACTGGGCTGAGGGTCGGGATATCACACCTCCACTATACTCTACACTGGGCTGAGGGTCGGGATATCTGACCTCCACTATACTCTACACTGGGCTGAGGGTCGGGATATCACACCTCCACTATACTCTACACTGGGCTGAGGGTCGGGATATCACACCTCCACTATACTCTACACTGGGCTGAGGGTCGGGATATCTGACCTCCACTATACTCTACACTGGGCTGAGGGTCGGGATATCTGACCTCCACTATACTCTACACTGGGCTGAGGGTCGGGATATCTGACCTCCACTATACTCTACACTGGGCTGAGGGTCGGGATATCTGACCTCCACACTCTACACTGGGCTGAGGGTCGGGATATCACACCTCCACTATACTCTACACTGGGCTGAGGGTCGGGATATCACACCCTCCACTATACTCTACACTGGGCTGAGGGTCGGGATATCTGACCTCCACCATACTCTACACTGGGCTGAGGGTCGGGATATCTGACCTCCACTATACTCTACACTGGGCTGAGGGTCGGGATATCACACCTCCACTATACTCTACACTGGGCTGAGGGTCGGGATATCTCACCTCCACTATACTCTACACTGGGCTGAGGGTCGGGATATCTCACCTCCACTATACTCTACACTGGGCTGAGGGTCGGGATATCTCACCTCCACTATACTCTACACTGGGCTGAGGGTCGGGATATCTGACCTCCACTATACTCTACACTGGGCTGAGGGTCGGGATATCACACCTCCACTATACTCTACACTGGGCTGAGGGTCGGGATATCTGACCTCCACTGTACTCTACACTGGGCTGAGGGTCGGGATATCACACCTCCACTATATACTGGGCTGACGGTCGGGATATCACACCTCCACTATACTCTACACTGGGCTGAGGGTCGGGATATCACACCTCCACTATACTCTACACCGGGCTGAGGGTCGGGATATCACACCTCCACTATACTCTACACTGGGCTGAGGGTCGGGATATCTCACCTCCACTATAATCTACACTGGGCTGAGGGTCGGGATATCACACCTCCACTATACTCTACACTGGGCTGAGGGTCGGGATATCTCACCTCCACTATAATCTACACTGGGCTGAGGGTCGGGATATCACACCTCCACTATACTCTACACTGGGCTGAGGGTCGGGATATCTGACCTCCACTATACTCTACACTGGGCTGAGGGTCGGGATATCTCACCTCCACTATACTCTACACTGGGCTGAGGGTCGGGATATCTCACCTCCACTATACTCTACACTGGGCTGAGGGTCGGGATATCTGACCTCCACTATACTCTACACCGGGTTGAGGGTCTGGATATCTGACCTCCACTATACTCTACACCGGGCTGAGGGTCGGGATATCACACCTCCACTATACTCTACACTGGGCTGAGGGTCGGGATATCTGACCTCCACTATACTCTACACCGGGCTGAGGGTCGGGATATCACACCTCCACTGTACTCTACACTGGGCTGAGGGTCGGGATATCTGACCTCCACTATATACTCTACACTGGGCTGAGGGTCGGGATATCTGACCTCCACTATACTCTACACTGGGCTGAGGGTCGGGATATCTGACCTCCACTATACTCTACACTGGGCTGAGGGTCAGACTGTGGGGTATTTTGTGGTCCTCCAGATGTATGTCAGATGTTTCCATTGTCTCTTTATATTACAGCAGTCTTTGCCACAACCAATAACTCTGGTCTAGTAGATGACGGAGGAACTCTGGAGAAGATTTCTGGACCAGGGTGCTCCTCAAACATCACTAAAACATCACCATAACACCATGAAGAAGCCTCTGACCACCAACGTCCCGGCAGACAGAGGGCATTGTGACAGAAATGGATTTGTTTCCATGCATTAAAAACTTTGTCGCCCTGATTTCCATCTCTGCTCCCCTTCCTCAGAGAAATCCATCTCCTATCTCAGCAACATGGACACAGCAAAGGGAACCTGTCTCCTATTCCCATCTTCCAAGCCTACAGTATATACTATATATTCTTCACCCAAGTACTGGCTTCACCTATTATTGCACCCTGGGGGAGGGGCTTCTCTGGTCTGGGAAAAAAACTGAAATTCACCTAATGGAAGAGTCTAAGGGAGAGCCAATGGGAGAACCAATGGGAGAGTCAATGGGAGAACCAATAGGGGAGCCAATGGGAGAGCCAATGGGAGAGCCAATGGGAGAGCCAATGGGAGAGTCAATGGGAGAGTCAATAGGGGAGCCAATGGGAGAACCAATGGGAGAGCCAATGAAAGTCAATGGCAGAGTCAATGGGAGAGCCAAATGGGAGAGTCAATAGGGGAGCCAATGGGAGAACCAATGGGGAGAGCCAATGAAAGAGTCAATAGGAGAGTCAATGGCAGAGTCAATGGGAGAGCCAATGGGAGAGTCAATAGGGGAGCCAATGGGATAGACAATGGGAGAGCCAATGGGAGAGTCAATGGAAGAGCCTAAGGGAGAGACAGTGGGAGAGTCAGTGAGAGAGAAAATGGGAGAGCCAATGGGAGAGACAATGGGAGAGACAATGGGAGAGACAATGGGAGAGACAATGGGAGAGACAATGGGAGAGACAATGGGAGAGCCAATGGGAGAGACAATGGGAGAGACAGTGGGAGAGTCAGTGGGACAGCCAATGGGAGAGTCAGTGGGAGAGCCAATGGGAGAGCCAATGGGAGAGCCAATAGGAGAGCCAATGGGAGAGCCAAGCTCAGTCACACACACACACATACATATATATTTACTAAATCAACTACAAGGAGCTGAGAACCAGTCAATCAGAGCCCCCAAAATGAACTTTTCAAATCAAATTCCTGGAATTCTGTAGATATGGCTCATCGTATTACCATCTCCAGATGTACGACACAAAACACAATGACAACATGGCGGTACAATATACCACGGCGCAGTACACTCCTCCATATATCAGATGATATGGGGGTACAATATACCACGGCGCAGTACACTCCTCCATATATCAGATGATATGGGGGTACAATATACCACGGCGCAGTACACTCCTCCATATATCAGATGATATGGGGGTACAATATGCCACGGCGCAGTACACTCCTCCATATATCAGATGATATGGGGGTACAATATACCACGGTGCAGTACAATCCTCCATATATCAGATGATATGGGGGTACAATATACCACGGTGCAGTACAATCCTCCATATATCAGATGGGACATCATGTATGACATCACTATATGGGGGTACAATATACCACGGCGCAGTACACTCCCCCATATATCAGATGATATGGGGGTACAGGTCTATATCGGGATGTGGACTCTCTGAGCTCACAGGATGAACCAGGATCAGGACGGGGAAGGAAAGTCCTTGTTGGTACCATCCTCCATCCTCCTTCTGGCCCCCCTTCCCCCACCCCCCTTTTTCTCACCCACCTTTTGGGGTGCATTGATGACTCCAATGTTGTATCCAAACTGGAATGAGCCCAGGATGGCGGTGAAGACGGAGAGGACCAGAGTCTTGGTGACGGCAGTGCGGACCACCACCTGCTGCAAAACAACCAGAAGAATCCACCTGTGACCACCACAATGTCTCCAATGTACAATAATGGTGACACCCCCTCCCCCCACACACAGCCTGTCCCCCCCATACCTGTCCTCCGTCTATGGGCTGGAATCCTCCGGAGGGCATTCTTACTTCCTCTTCCTAGAAAGCCCCCGAGAGGGTGAAACGTTGGGAGAGCTCAGTCTGTGACCTTGTAGGAGAGAAGAGAGAGAGGCGAGGGGGGAGGAGGGCCGCCCCAGGCAAGTCGTCACACGAGGGACACAAACTTTTCCAAAGGTTTAGCAGAATGTGAAGGAAGGAGACAGACTGAGACAGGAGACAAAGGGGGTCCTGGAGATAAAAGGGGTCCCAGAGATAGAGGGTGTCCAGGAGATAGAGGGTGTCCAGGAGATAGAGGGTGTCCAGGAGATAGAGGGTGTCCAGGAGATAGAGGGTGTCCAGGAGATAGAGGGTGTCCAGGAGATAGAGGGTGTCCTGGCTCAGTCCTGGGACAGAGGATGTCCTGGAGATAGAGGGTGTCCTGGAGATTGAGGGGATCCAGGAAATAGAGGGGATCCTGGAGAGAGAGGGTGTCCAGGAGATAGAGGGTGTCCAGGAGATAGAGGGTGTCCAGGCTCAGCCCTGGGATAGAGGGGATCCTGGAGATAGAGGGGATCCTGGAGATAGAGGGTGTCCAGGAGATAGAGGGTGTCCAGGCTCAGTCCTGGGACAGAGGATGTCCTGGAGATAGAGGGTGTCCTGGAGATAGAGGGGATCCAGGAAATAGAGGGGATCCTGGAGAGAGAGGGTGTCCTGGAGATAGAGGGTGTCCAGGAGATAGAGGGTGTCCAGGTTCAGTCCTGGGACAGAGGATGTCCTGGAGATAGAGGGGATCCAGGAAATAGAGGGGATCCTGGAGAGAGAGGGTGTCCAGGCTCAGCCCTGGGATAGAGGGGATCCCGGAGATAGAGAGTGGTCCTGGAAGTAGAGGGTGTCCTGGAGATAGAGGGTGTCCAGGCTCAGCCCTGGGATAGAGGGTGGTCCTGGAGATAGAGGGTGTTCAGGAGACAGAGGGTGTCCAGGCTGAGGACCATCACACAGGGGGAGGACAAGGTGACAAAGACAGAACAGAACAGCTGAGAAGACACTGAACCCTCCAAGAGGTCCTACGGCAGGGACACACTGAGATATAGAGGAGGGGGGCTCAGGTGGGTTCATGGAGGGGGGTCAGGAGAAATTTGAGGGTATTGATGGGGTCAGGGTGGTCAGGAGAACACAAAGGTAAGAAGGATGAAGACACTTGGGGGGTATAGAGGTTGGGGACAGGTGAACAGAGAACCACGGGGCACAACAAATTCAGGGGTAAAGGTTGGGGGCCCCTTGATGGTGGTCTATAGGGGGGGCACAGAGGGGTCCCTGAAGGTGGTGGATCCAGAGGGAAGCAGAAGAATGAGGAAGGAGCCGGGGGAGTGAGGCAGATAGAAGAGGTACCTTGAATGGCTGCCAGCTGGAGGAACGTGGCACCACAATGACTCCGAGGTGTGAAAATAAAGAGTGTTGTAGTGTCTACCCTGGGAGGGGGCAAAGGGGGGCCGAGCCGGGGGGGGGGGGGGGTCTAAATCTGGATACAGCCCTTCATTGAAGGTTTGGAAAGGTTACAAGAGGAGATCACCCCGGCCAAAGCTCAGAGCAGCCAAAGGAGTGGTGGGTACATGGATGGAGGCCGGGGGGGGAGACATCGTTACACCCCCTCCCCCCAGAATATTCAGTTTAGTCTGGAGCTGCACTGCATGATGAATATGAGGTGCCTATAGAAGAGAGAAAGCTCAGCGGGGTCAGCTGACTGACAACACCCCCCCCCCCCCAGCCTGTCACTGAAAGGTTGGAGGACCCGAGCAGCTGTCCCTGGCGGAGGGGCGTCATGTCCTCTGACCAAAATACCAAATGAAACCCAACACCCCACTAGGGGGGGCCAGGGGGTCAGCGACACACAGGAGCTCGCCAGCCACACACGTGGGCGCCGACGTCAACCCGTAACCTTTCCAGAGGCTTACACCGGGGTAATAATAGATTGTCAGCTCTCCAGGACAGCCGGCCCAACCACGTGGCTTCCCATAGATACAGACACTGCGTCACAGCCTGGGGGGCGTATGAGGGGCGACGCGGGGTGACAACACCACCTGTATATATATATATACCTACAACACCACCTGTATATATATATATATACCTACAACACAACACCACCTGTATATATATATATATATACCTACAACACCACCTGTATATATATATATACCTACAACACAACACCACCTGTATATATATATATACCTACAACACGACCTGTATATACAATCAATTCCATTGTGTCCAGCAGAGGGCGACCACACCCACCATTGTGTCCAGAGGTAACCCTGAGGGGCAGAACACTATACTGACACAAAGTCCTGACCAGCAGGGGGCCCCAGAGAGACGTCACCCTGTCCCGACCAGCAGAGGGCCCCAGAGAGACGTCACCCTGTCCCGACCAGCAGGGGGCCCCAGAGAGACGTCACCCTGTCCCGACCAGCAGAGGGCCCCAGAGAGACGTCACCCAGTCCCGACCAGCAGAGGGCCCCAGAGAGACGTCACCCAGTCCCGACCAGCAGAGGGCCCCAGAGAGACGTCACCCTGTCCCGACCAGCAGAAGGCCCCAGAGAGACGTCACCCAGTCCCGACTAGTAGGGGGCCCCAGAGACGTCACCGTGTCCCGACCAGCAGGGGGCCCCAGAGAGACGTCACCCTGTCCCGACCAGCAGAGGGCCCCAGAGAGACGTCACCCTGTCCCGACCCGTAGGGGGCCCCAGAGAGACGTCACCCTGTCCCGACCAGCAGAGGGCCCCAGAGAGACGTCACCCTGTCCTGACCAGCAGAGGGCCCCAGAGAGACGTCACCCTGTCCCGACCAGCAGAGGGCCCCAGAGAGACGTCACCCTGTCCCGACCAGCAGGGGGCCCAAGAGAGACGTCACCCAGTCCCGACCAGCAGAGGGCCCCAGAGAGACGTCACCCTGTCCCGACCAGCAGGGGGCCCAAGAGAGACGTCACCCAGTCCTGACCAGCAGAGGGCCCCAGAGAGACGTCACCCTGTCCCGACCAGCAGAGGGCCCCAGAGAGACGTCACCCTGTCCCGACCAGCAGGGGGCCCAAGAGAGACGTCACCCAGTCCTGACCAGCAGAGGGCCCCAGAGAGACGTCATCCTGTCCTGACCAGCAGGGGGCCCCAGAGAGACTTCACCCTGTCCCGACCAGCAGAGGGCCCCAGAGAGACGTCACCCTGTCCCGACCAGCAGGGGGCCCAAGAGAGACGTCACCCTGTCCCGACCAGTAGGGGGCCCCAGAGGGATGGCCTTGTCACCAGATGAAGGAAGGTAGAGGATGGCCATGTCACCAGGAGAAGGAAGGTAGAGGATGGCCATGTCACCAGGAGAAGGAAGGTAGAGGATGGCCATGTCACCAGGAGAAGGAAGGTAGAGGATGGCCATGTCACCAGGAGAAGGAAGGTAGAAGATGGCCATGTCACCAGGAGAAGGAAGGTAGAGGATGGCCATGTCACCAGGAGAAGGAAGGTAGAGGATGGCCATGTCACCAGGAGTAAGAAGGTAGAGGAAGGCCATGTCACCAGGAGAAGGAAGGTAGAGGATGGCCATGTCACCAGGAGAGGGAAGGTAGAAGATGGCCATGTCACCAGGAGAAGGAAGGTAGAGGATGGCCATGTCACCAGGAGAAGGAAGGTAGAGGATGGCCATGTCACCAGGAGAAGGAAGGTAGAGGATGGCCATGTCACCAGGAGAAGGAAGGTAGAGGATGACGATGTCACCAGGAGAAGGAAGGTAGAGGATGGCCATGTCACCAGGAGAAGGAAGGTAGAGGATGGCCATGTCACCAGAAGGAAGATAGAGGATGGCCATTTCATCAGGAGAAGGAATGTAGAGGATGGCCATGTCACAAGGAGAAGGAAGGTAGAGGATGGCCATGTCACCAAGAGAAGGAAGGTGGAGAATGGCCATGTCACCAGGAGAAGGAAGGTAGAGGATGGCCATGTCACCAGGAGAAGGAAGGTAGAGGATGGCCATGTCACCAGGAGAAGGAAGGTGGAGGATGGCCATGTCACCAGGAGAAGGAAGGTAGAGGACGGCCATGTCACCAGGAGAAGGAAGGTAGAGGATGGCCATGTCACCAGGAGAAGGAAGGTAGAGGATGGCCATGTCACCAGGAGAAGGAAGGTAGAGGATGGCCATGTCACCAGAAGGAAGATAGAGGATGGCCATTTCATCAGGAGAAGGAATGTAGAGGATGGCCATGTCACCAGGAGAAGGAAGGTAGAGGATGGCCATGTCACCAAGAGAAGGAAGGTGGAGAATGGCCATGTCACCAGGAGAAGGAAGGTAGAGGATGGCCATGTCACCAGGAGAAGGAAGGTAGAGGATGGCCATGTCACCAAGAGAAGGAAGGTGGAGAATGGCCATGTCACCAGGATAAGGAAGTTAGAGGATAGCCATGTCACCAAGAGAAGGAAGGTGGAGAATGGCCATGTCACCAGGAGAAGGAAGGTAGAGGATAGCCATGTCACCAAGAGAAGGAAGGTAGAGGATGGCCATGTCACCAAGAGAAGGAAGGTGGAGAATGGCCATGTCACCAGGAGAAGGAAGGTAGAGGATAGCCATGTCACCAAGAGAAGGAAGGTGGAGAATGGCCATGTCACCAGGAGAAGGAAGGTAGAGGATGGCCATGTCACCAGGAGAAGGAAGGTAGAGGATGGCCATGTCACCAGGAGAAGGAAGGTGGAGAATGGCCATGTCACCAGGAGAAGGATGGTAGAGGACGGCCATGTCACCAGGAGAAGGAAGGTAGAGGATGGCCATGTCACCAAGAGAAGGAAGGTGGAGAATGGCCATGTCACCAGGATAAGGAAGTTAGAGGATAGCCATGTCACCAAGAGAAGGAAGGTGGAGAATGGCCATGTCACCAGGAGAAGGAAGGTAGAGGATAGCCATGTCAGCAAGAGAAGGAAGGTAGAGGATGGCCATGTCACCAAGAGAAGGAAGGTGGAGAATGGCCATGTCACCAGGAGAAGGAAGGTAGAGGATAGCCATGTCACCAAGAGAAGGAAGGTAGAGGATGGCCATGTCACCAAGAGAAGGAAGGTAGAGGATAGCCATGTCACCAAGAGAAGGAAGGTGGAGAATGGCCATGTCACCAGGAGAAGGAAGGTAGAGGATAGCCATGTCACCAAGAGAAGGAAGGTAGAGGATGGCCATGTCACCAAGAGAAGGAAGGTAGAGGATAGCCATGTCACCAAGAGAAGGAAGGTGGAGAATGGCCATGTCACCAAGAGAAGGAAGGTAGAGGATAGCCATGTCACCAAGAGAAGGAAGGTGGAGAATGGCCATGTTACTAGAAGAAAAGTAGAGGATGTCCATGTGACAAGAAGAGGGTGGGTGTAGGATGGCCATGATGTCAGTAGCGGTGGAGGGGTGGGAGGAGTGCAGGATAGCCATGGGACCAGGAGAAGGATGCTCTTTCCCACCAGTAGATGGAGGTCATCAGATGGACTTCCCACCATTGAGGAGGTTGCAGGATGATGATCTCACAGTCAGAGATGGAGGATCAGCCGGTCCCAGTGTCTCACCCATCTAGTGCCTGGGCTGGTCTTGTTGGGTTCCATAAAGAGAACCATTCGTGGTCAGGTAGGAGTCTCATTCTCCATCCTCGGTGACCTGTCCTAACTTACCTGAAGAAGATTCTCATTTCCTCCTAATTTAGGGTCACTTTCTGTGCACCAACCCGACACCCCAGCCTGGGTCAGGGGTCAGAGGTCACTAGAAGCCTGGTATGGTGTCTCCCCGAGAGGCTGGAGAGTCGGTCTGTGTCAGGGGTCAGAGGTCACCAGAAGCATGATATGGTGTCTCCTAGGGAGGCTGGAGAGTCAGTCTGTGTCAGGGGGTCAGAGGTCACGAGAAGCATGATATGGTGTCTCCCAGAGAGGCTGGAGAGTCGGTCTGTGTCAGGGGTCAGAGGTCACGAGAAGCATGATATGGTGTCTCCCAGAGAGGCTGGAGAGTCGGTCTGTGTCAGGGGTCAGAGGTCACCAGAAGCATGATATGGTGTCTCCCAGAGAGGCTGGAGAGTCGGTCTGTGTCAGGGGTCAGAGGTCACCAGAAGCATGATATGGTGTCTCCTAGAGAGGCTGGAGAGTCGGTCTGTGTCAGGGGTCAGAGGTCACCAGAAGCATGATATGGTGTCTCCCAGAGAGGCTGGAGAGTCGGTCTGTGTCAGGGGTCACCAGAAGCATGATATGGTGTCTCCCAGAGAGGCTGGAGAGTCGGCCTGGGTCAGAGGTCACCAGAAGCATGATATGGTGTCTCCTTGGGAGGCTGGAGAGTCGGTCTGTGTCAGGGGTCAGAGGTCACGAGAAGCATGATATGGTGTCTCCCAGAGAGGCTGGAGAGTCGGTCTGTGTCAGGGGTCAGAGGTCACCAGAAGCATGATATGGTGTCTCCCAGAGAGGCTGGAGAGTCGGTCTGTGTCAGGGGTCAGAGGTCACCAGAAGCATGATATGGTGTCTCCCAGAGAGGCTGGAGAGTCGGTCTGTGTCAGGGGTCAGAGGTCACCAGAAGCATGATATGGTGTCTCCCAGAGAGGCTGGAGAGTCGGCCTGTGTCAGGGGTCAGAGGTCACCAGAAGCATGATATGGTGTCTCCCAGAGAGGCTGGAGAGTCGGTCTGTGTCAGGGGTCAGAGGTCACGAGAAGCATGATATGGTGTCTCCCAGAGAGGCTGGAGAGTCGGTCTGTGTCAGAGATACCACCATGGCATTCACCACCATTGAGAGATACCACCATGATAGACTCCACCATTGAGAGATACCACCTTGATAGACCCCAATATTGAGAGATACCACCATGGTAGACCCCACCATTGAGAGATACCACCATGATAGACCCCAATATTGAGAAATACCACCATGATAGACCCCAATATTGAGAAATACCACCATGATAGACTCCACCATTGAGAGATACCACCATGATAGACCCCAATATTGAGAAATACCACCATGATAGACTCCACCATTGAGAGATACCACCATGATAGACCCCACCATTGAGAGATACCACCATGATAGACTCCACCATTGAGAGATACCACCATGGTAGACTCCACCATTGAGAGATACCACCATGATAGACTCCACCATTGAGAGATACCACCATGATAGACTCCACCATTGAGAGATACCACCATGATAGACCCCACCATTGAGAGATACCACCATGATAGACTCCACCATTGAGAGATACCACCATGGTAGACTCCACCATTGAGAGATACCACCATGATAGACTCCACCATTGAGAGATACCACCATGATAGACCCCACCATTGAGAGATACCCCCATGGCATTCACCACCATTGAGAGATACCACCATGATAGACTCCACCATTGAGAGATACCACCATGATAGACCCCACCATTGAGAGATACCCCCATGGCATTCACCACCATTGAGAGATACCACCATGATAGACTCCACCATTGAGAAATACCACCATGATAGACTCCACCATTGAGAGATACCACCATGATAGACCCCACCATTGAGAGATACCACCATGATAGACCCCACCATTGAGAGATACCACCATGATAGACCCCACCATTGAGAGATACCACCATGGCATTCACCACCATTGAGAGATACCACCATGGTAGACCCCACCATTGAGAGATACCACCATGATAGACTCCACCATTGAGAGATACCACCATGGCATTCACCACCATTGAGAGATCCCACCATGATAGACTCCACCATTGAGAGATACCACCATGGCATTCACCACCATTGAGAGATCCCACCATGATAGACTCCACCATTGAGAGATACCACCATGATAGACCCCACCATTGAGAGATACCACCATGGTAGACCCCACCATTGAGAGATACCACCATGATAGACTCCACCATTGAGAGATACCACCATGATAGACTCCACCATTGAGAGATACCACCATGGTAGACCCCACCATTGAGAGATACCACCATGATAGACTCCACCATTGAGAGATACCACCATGGTAGACCCCACCATTGAGAGATACCACCATGATAGACCCCACCATTGAGAGATACCACCATGGTAGACCCCACCATTGAGAGATACCACCATGGTAGACCCCACCATTGAGAGATCCCCCTGTTGTAGACACTGCTATGTATGAGATCCCACCATGGACGTTGTAGAGACTACTTCTATACGACCAGAATTGGTGACAGAAGATGTGACTCCGGATATCCGCGGGGTCACGTCCCTCATAAATGGTATATATAATGTGTATAAACTGAGATATACAGAAGTTGCGGCTGGTTGGATAAGCTGATAAGAAGGTGTTTGTGTACACACCCCGCGCCTATCAGTGCGAGACCTTTATCCCCAGCACTGCTATTACAGATAACACTCCCCTCCCCCACCCTCCAATCTGCAGATCATTTCATACACTATATTACCGAAACCCCGGCCTTCCCACATTTTGTCAGGTCAGGCACTGATGTCGGGGGAGGAGGCCTGGCAGGACAGTCAAGTTCCTCCACCCCAAACTGGCTCCTCCATGTCTTTATGGACCTTGCTTTGTGCCCTGGTGGGCAGTCATGTTGGAACAGGAAGGGGCCATCCCCAAACTCCTCCCACAAAGTTGGGAGCATGAAATTGTCCAAAATGTCGCCTTAAGAGTTCCCTTCACTGGAACTAGGGGGCCAAGTCCAACCCCTGAAAGACACCCCCACACCATAATCCCACCTCCACCAAACTTTACACTTGGCACAATGCAGTCAGGCAAGTACCCTTCTCCTGGCCACCACCAAACCCAGACACGTCCATTGGATTGCCAGACAGAGAAGCGTGATTGGTCCCTCCAGAGACACCACTCCACCCCTGCTCTGGAGTCCAGTGGCGGCGTGCTTTACACCCCACGGCATCCGACGCTTTGCATTGCACTTGGTGATGGAAGGCTTGGATGCAGCTGCTCTAGAGTCCAGTGGCGGCGTGCTTTACACCACGGCATCCGATGCTTTGCATTGCACTTGGTGATGGAAGGCTTGGATGCAGCTGCTCTCGGCCCTGGAAACCCATTCCATGAAGCTCTCTACGCACTGTTGTTGGGCTCATCTGAAGGCCACACCAAGTTTGGAGGTCTTTAGCTATTGACTCTGCAGACAGTTGGTGACTTCTGCGCACTGTGCGCTTCAGCATGCGCTGACCCCCGCCCTGTCATGTGACGTGGCCTACCACTTGTGGTGGCTGAGTGGCTGTTGTTCCCAGTTGCTTCCACTTTGTTATAATCCCACTAACAGTTGAGCGTGGAATATTTAGTAGCCAGGAAATGTCACGGATGGACTTATTGCCCAGGTGGCCACCTATCACGGGACCACGCTTGGAGTCACTGAGCTCCTGAGAGCGACCCATTCTTTCACCAATCCCGGCGGTCGGTGGTCTCCGGTGAGTCATCTCTCCGATACTCTTCCTGCACCGATACCGGCTGTGAGTTTTTGGTGACGTCAGGCGGAGCGGAGTATTGGTGACGTCACTGTCTCACCTGGGAGGGCGGGGGGCGGTATAATAAGGGGCGGTCGGGGCTCAGGTGCGCTCAGTACGGTCGGTCGGTCGGTCGGAGAGTGAAGATGGCGAACTCCGGGCTGCAGATGTTGGGCTTTGTTCTGTCTCTGATCGGATGGATCGCGCTGATCGCAGCGACTATATGCCGCAATGGAGGATGTCATCGTACGCCGGAGACAACATCATCACCGCGGTGGCCATCTACCAGGGACTGTGATGAGCTGCGTGACCCAGAGCACGGGGCAGATCCAGTGCAAGGTGTACGACACCCCTGCTGCAAGCTGGACGGTGAGTTACCGCCCCCCAGGTGTTACCGCCCCCATCACTGCTACCCCCCATCACACCCCCCCCCCTACTACCCCCATCATCACCCCCACCCAGAGCACGGGGCAGATCCAGTGCCAAGGTGTACGACTCCCTGCTGCAGCTGGACGGTGAGTTACCGCCCCCCAGGTGTTACCGCCCCCACCACTACTACCCCCCGATCACCCCCCCCTACAAAAAAAATACCCCCATCCAACCCCCCCCCCCCTAACTACCCCCATCACCCCCACCCAGAGCACGGGGCAGATCCAGTGCAAGGTGTACGACTCCCTGCTGCAGCTGGACGGTGAGTGTTACCGCCACCCCCCAGGTGTTACCGCCCCGCGCCACTACTACCCCCATACCACCACTACTACCCCCATCATCCCCCACCCAGAGCACGGGGCAAGATCCAATGCAAGGTGTACGACTCCCTGCTGCAGCTGGACGGTGACTGTTACCGCCCCCCCCAGTGTTACCGCCCCCCCCACTACTACCCCCACCACTACTACCCCCATCATCCCCCACCCAGAACACGGGGTAGATCCAGTGCAAGGTGTACGACTCGCTGCTGCAGCTGGACGTGAGTGTTACCCCGCCCCCCAGGTGTTACCCCGCCCCCCACCACTACTACCCCCATCACCCCCCCCCCCCTACTACCCCCATCACCCCACCCAGAGCACGGGGCAGATCCAGTGCGAGGTGTACGACTCCCTGCTGCAGCTGACGGTGAGTGTTACTGCCCCCCAGGTGTTACCGCCCCCCGCCAACTACTACCCCCACCACTACTACCCCTATCATCCCCCACCCAAGAGCCCAAGCACGGGGCAGATCCAGTGCAAGGTGTACGACTCCCTGCTGCAGCTGGACGGTGAGTTACCCGCCCCCCCAGGGGTTACCGCCCCCCACCACTACTACCCCCATCATCCCCCCCCAGGTGTTACCGCCACCCCCACCACTACTACCCCCATCATCCCCCCCCCCCAACTACTACCCCCATCACCCCCACCCAGAGCACGGGGCAGATCCAGTGCAAGGTGTACGACTCGCTGCTGCAGCAGGACGGGAGTGTTAACGCCCCCCCAGGTGTTACCGCTCCCCGCCCCTACTACCCCCATCATCCCCCACCCAGAGCACAGGGCAGATCCAGTGCAAGGTGTCACGACTCACTGCTGCGAGCTGGACGGTGAGTTACCACCCCCGCCAGGTGTTAACCGCCCCCCACCACTACTACCCCATCCATCCCCCCACCCAGAGCAAGGGGCAGATCCAACTGCAAGATGTACGAAACTCCCTGCTGGCAGCTGGACGGTGAGTTTACCACCAGCCCCCCGCCAGGTGTTACAGCCCGCTCATCACTACTACCCACCCCATCATACCCCCCCCCCACCACACTACTACCCCCATCATAACCCCCCCCACACACTAACCCCCATCTCATACCCCCCCCCACACTACTACCCCCCAATCATAACCCCCCACAACTACTCCCAATCAAATACCCCCCCACACTACTACCGACCCAATACCCCCCCACACTACTACCTTACCCAAATCATACCCATTGCACACTACTACCCCCCATCATACCACTACCCCACAATCAATAATACCCCACCACTACCCCTTCAATCCTAACCCCCCCCCCATACACACCCGCAATCCTACCCCCCCCCCACCACTACCCCAATCCTACCCCCCTCAACCACTACCCAAACAATACCACCCCCCCCCCACCACTACCCCAAATCATACCCCCCCCCACCAAACCCCCAATCCTACCCCCCCCCCCAACTACCCCAATCTATTACCCCCCCCCACAACTAAGCCAATCATCCCCCCCCAATACCCTACCCCAATCAATACACCCCCCCCAAACTAAAAAACAACCCCCCCCCACAAAACACCCAACAACACAAACCAAACCCATCATAACCCCAATTCCACTAACCCACATAAACCCCCACCACCACAAACCCCCATCATCACAACCACCCCCCCATCCATCACAATCCCCCCCCACCACTACTACCCCCCCATCCCACACCCCCCCCCCCCCAAACCCCCCCCCAACCACACCACCCCCCCACCACTACACACCCCCATCATCACAATCCACCCACTACTACCCCCATCATCACCCCCCCCCACCACACCCCATACCCCCATCACCCCCCCCCCCCACCACCCACTTCCTAACCCCATCAAACCCACACCCCCCCCCACCACTACCCCCCATCATCATCACCCCCCCCCCCACAATACTACCCCCATCATCACACCCCCCCCCCCACCACTACTACCCCCATCATCACACCCCCCCCCCCACACCACTACACCCCCATCATCACCCCCCCACCACTACTACCCCCATCATCACCCCCCCCCACCACTACTACCCCCAAATCACCAACCCCCACCACTACTACCCCCATCATCACCCCCCCCCACCACTACTACCACCCAACCATCACCCCCCCACCACTACTACCCCCATCATCTCCCCCCCCTCCACCACTACTACCCCATCATCACCCCCCCCCCCATCAACACTACCCCCCCATCATCACCCCCCCCACCACTACTACCCCCATCCCACACCCCCCCCCCCCCACCACTACCCCCCCATCCCACCCCCCCCCACCAACTACTACCCCCAACCACCCCCCCCCCCACCACCCTACCCCCCCCCCATCACCCCCCCCCCACCACCCCACCCACAACCCCCCCCACCACTACTCCCCCCCCCCCCCCCCACCACTACTACCCCCATCATCACCCCCCCCCCACTACTACCCCCCCCCATCACCCCACCCCCCACCACTACTACCCCCCAACATCACACCCCCCCCCCACCACTACTACCACCCATCATCACCCCCCCCCCCCCCCCACCACTACTACCCCCATCATCACCCCCCCCCCCCCACCACTACTACCCCCATAACTCACCCCCCCCACACCCCCCCACCACTACTACCCCCATCATCACCCCCCCCCCACCACACTACTACCCCACCCCCCCCCCCACCACCACTACTACCCCCATCATCACCCCCCCCCCCACCACTACTACCCCCATCATCACCCCCCCCCCCACTACACCACCACTTACCCCCACCAACATCACCCCCCCCCCCCACCCCCCCACTACTACCCCCAATCACCTACCCCCCCCCATACCCACACCACTACTATCCCCATCACCCCCCCCCCACCACTACTATCCCCCCCATCACCCCCCCCCCCCCCACCCCCACCCCCCACCCCCCCCCCCATCACCCCCACCCCCCCCCCCCCCCCCCACCCCCCCCCCACCACCCCCCCCACCCCCCCCCCCACCACCACTACCCCCATCACCCCCCCCCCACCACTACTACCCCCATCATCACCCACCCACCACTACTACCCCCATCATCACCCACCCCACCCACTACTACCCCCATCATCACCCACCCACCCCCCCATCATCACCCACCCACCACCACTACCCCCCCTATCATCACCCCCCCCCCCCCACCACCACTATTACCCCCATCATCACCCCCCCCACCACTACTACCCCCATCATCACCCCCCCCCCCCACCGTGACATTGGGGGCTGGCTGGAGGGGGTATGGTGGGTGGATTTGCTGGTTGTGCAAGGTGGGGTATGGCAAGTGTATTGGCCGGTTTGGCGGCCCGGGGTATGGCGGTTGTTTGGCGGCCCGGGGTATGGCGGTTGTATTGAGTGGTTGGGTGGATCTGGTCGGGTGGCTCGGGGCATGGCAGGTGTATTGGCTGGTTGGGTGGCTCGGGGCATGGCAGGTGTATTGGCTGGTTGGGTGGCTCGGGGCATGGCAGGTGTATTGGCTGGTTGGGTGGATCTGGTTGGGTGGCTCAGGGCATGGCGGGTGGATCTGGTTGGGTGGCTCGGGGCATGGCAGGTGTATTGGCTGGTTGGGTGGATCTGGTTGGGTGGCTCGGGGCATGGCAGGTGTATTGGCTGGTTGGGTGGCTCGGGGCATGGCAGGTGTGTTGGTTGGGTGGATCTGGTTGGGTGGCTCGGGGCATGGCAGGTGTATTGGCATGGCAGGTGGATCTGGTTGGGTGGCTCGGGGCATGGCAGGTGTATTGGCTGGTTGGGTGGCTCGGGGCATGGCAGGTGTATTGGCTGGTTGGGTGGCTCGGGGCATGGCAGGTGTATTGGCTGGTTGGGTGGCTCGGGGCATGGCAGGTGTATTGGCTGGTTGGGTGGCTCGGGGCATGGCAGGTGTATTGGCTGTTGGGTGGATCTGGTTGGGTGGCTCGGGGCATGGTAGGTGTATTGGCTGGTTGGGTGGCTCGGGGCATGGCAGGTGTTTTGGCTGGATCTGGTTGGGTGGCTCAGAGTATGGCAGGTGTATTGGCTGGTTGGGTGGATCTGGTTGGGTGGCTCGGGGCATGGCAGGTGTATTGGTGGGATTCCCAGGGCAGGCCATGTAGTATAGTTTGTAGGCTGGTTTCTTCTCTACCCCCCCTCCCCCCCGGTGGGTATCAGGGGGGGCCCCTGAGTTCTCGGTCAGACGTTGGTGATAGGAGGCCGGCTGGTTGGGCGGTGGCCGATTTTTCTTTCTTTGGCTCCCCAGAACCGGTCAGACCAGTTTCAAGTTGAACTTTCCTCGGGCCCCCCCCCCCCCCTGGCATTGCATGTGTTCCCGCTCTGTGCTGGCTCCCAGCCCGGAGTGCCCCCTGTAGATGGGAGAAGGTCCCGGGAAGGCGGTTGGCGTGTCTGTGGCCTCCTCCAGACATTTCCGTTATTTCTTATCTGCTGATAAGTCAGTGAAAGGACTGATAACCCCCTTATCTGAGGGCGGCGGCCACGTGGAGCCGCCAATCCTGTGTGAGCGCCGGCCGACCTTCAGGACTGTGTATGGGGGGGGGGGATCAGGGTGTTGGGGGCATATTATGTCTTCATGGGGTTTGTATGAGAATCTTGTACCCCCCAATGTGCAGACCCCCTCATACCTGGGGTACTGTACCCCTCTTCTCCCCTATGTCCCCCAATATCACACCTTGTATGGGGCCCTGTTGGGGGGGGGGGGGTTGATGGTGAATTGCCCCATCGGGGGGGGGGGGGGGGGGGGGAGTTGATGGTGAATTGCCCCATCGGGGGTAGGTGATCTCTGGGGCCCCATGAAGTGTTTTGTAGAAGGTTCTTGGGGTTCAGTGTGGTGGTGCCCCTCAGTGGGGTTGTTGGGGTGACCCTGTGCTCGGTAGTTGGAGGGGGGGAGGGGGTTGTAGTTTCCTGTGTTTACCTCTCGCTCTGTTCAGTTTCTGTGAAACTCTCCCCTCCCCCTCCTCAGGGTGTGACTCCATTGTGTCACCTGGGACTCTCCTACCTGTCCTGTAATGGCTGCTGACTCATCGCCGCCATATACTGCAGTGTAGTACAGACTGTACTGTGCCACCGTGTGTGTGGGGGGGGGGGGGGATACAGGGACCTCTGTAACACGGTGTATGGGGGAGATATAGGGACCTCTGTGCCATGGTGTATGGGGGGGATACAGGGACCTCTGTACTGTGCCACGATGTATGGGGGGGATACAGGGACCTCTGTACTGTGCCATGATGTATGGGGGGGGGGGATACAGGGACCTCTGTACTGTGCCACGAGGTATGGGGGGATACAGGAACCTCTGTACTGTGCCACGGTGTATGGGGGGGATACAGGGACCTCTGTACTGTGCCACGGTGTATGGGAGAGATACAGGGACCCCTGTAGTGCCACGGTGTATGGGGGGGGGGGTATAGGGACCTCTGTACTGTGCCAGTGTATGGGGGGGATACAGGGACCTCTGTGCTGCGTCACGGTGTATGGGGGGGGATACAGGGACCTCTGTACTGTGCCACGATGTATGGGGGGGGGGGGGATACAGGGACCTCTGTACCACGGTGTATGGGGGGGATATAGGGACCTCTGTACCACGGTGTATGGGGGGGATATAGGGACCTCTGTACCACGGTGTATGGGGGGGGGGGGATACAGGGACCTCTGTACTGTGCCATGATGTATGGGGGGGGATACAGGGACCTCTGTACTGTGCCACGGTGTATGGGGGGGGGGGGGATATAGGGACCTCTGTACCACGGAGTATGGGGGGGGGGGGGGACATAGGGACCTCTGTAGTATATGGAGGAGATGGAGGGACCTCCTGTAGTATATGGAGGAGATGGAGGGACCTCCTGTAGTATATGGAGGAGATGGAGGGACCTCCTGTAGTATATGGAGGGACCTCCTGTAGTATATGGAGGGACCTCCTGTAGTATATGGAGGGACCTCTGGAGTATATGGAGGAGATGGAGGGACCTCTGGAGTATATGGAGGAACCATGTATGGTCGCATGCTGGACACATGAGGTACAATCTGTACAATCTCCTTACGATTTCCCTCGGTCTGTAGGACCTGATTGAGTAGAACATGCAGACCGGTGCCTGAGACATAGTGGGTAATCTGCAGCAGGTTGTACAATCAGATTGGTTGGTGGGTGGTTGGCTCTGTACTCAGTCACCCAACCAGATCCCCAGGAGGGGGCGAGTGCCCTCCCATACAGATGTGGTCAGGGCTGCCTCCCATACATGAGCTGGGTCCTGCAGTCTGCTGTATAATTGATTCCCGGCACAGATCTCCGGTTACTTTCCGTCTCTGAACTGCAGATAAGGAGTCTCCTGGCATCAGTCTGGAGGAGATGAGACCGAGGTGGTCTGGCCTTGGATTAGGGGGTCGACCTGTCCACAGCACCCGTGGTCTTGGTGTTTGTAGGCATGCCCAGTACTAGGTGGACCAGTGTGCTTGGGGTTATGGCAGGGGCCAGTGTGGCCTTTGCCTGGTGGGGGGGGGTTGGGGGAAGAGGTATGGTGGGGGGGGGGGGGGGGGGGGGGTGGGCGTGGGGATTTGCAGAGAGGCCAGTGCTCTGGGGGTATGGTGTGGCAAGGGTTAAAATTTGGGGTACAATGTGCAGACCTCTTGCAGTGTGGCTCATGTCCAGCTTGCTCCTCCATTCATGACTTGTACACTGATCACACCCCCCCTAATATAAAGTAGGCCCCCCTCTTACTGCCAGGACAGCCCTGACCCATGGTGGAATGGACTCTACGAGACAGTCATGACCGTGCAGAAGAGCCAGGAACTCGACCAGGATAAATAAACTAAAGATACATAAAACCGCATCAGATATTCCCTGTGGGAGGGTTGGGCCCATCAGAGGACCTAGACCTCCTCACACTCCAGAAGCTGTGTTGGACCCTCTGTCACTTTTCGGGGTTATTTGATGGTGAGCAGACTGGATGCAGTTGGGTGTGGAGAGAACACGAGTTTGCTGCTGGATTGAGGAGCCCTCTGGATTGTTTGTTGGATGAAGCTCTGTATTTGTGAGTGGAATGTAGAAATCTTTCTATAGGACATCGGTGAACTTTATGGTCTAGCCTTCTGACTGTTTTGGGAAGGAAAAGGATGTCTTCCAAGATTGAATGTTGCAGTTGAGGAGTGGATGTTTGAGTGGTGGAGGCCCCCTTGTCCGTCCTTGATGACAAATGTACTGATAGACCTTCTATACCAGAAAAGGACTAGTTATGAAGGCGAGATCTAGGCTCTCAGATTCAGGAACATTACCTCACGTGTTGGGAACCTTGCTGAAGATAGACTTTGAAGATGTTTTCTGAATGGTTAGGACTTCTGCGTTTTGGGACTATTCTAATACTTTGTAGATTTCGGCATCTTTGAGGTCTTCTGTTATTGGTGCTGCAAGGTTTTCATTTGAACTTTGGTGTGAAGTACTTTCCTGTGCTGGCTAGCTTTAGTTGTTTGTTGTTGGGGTTGGGCATAGTTGGGCATGGAGCTTTTCCTGTAATATGTGGCCTCCACTAGTCCTCTGAAGGTACCTGGCACCAAGCCATCAGAAGCAGATCCTTTAAGTTCTGTAAATTGGGAGGTGGGGCCTCCATGGATTAGACTTGTTTTTCCAGCACATCCCACAGATGATTGGATTGAGATTTGGGGAATTTTGAGGCCAAGTTGGCACCTCAGATCTGTTGTGTTCCCCCAAACCATTCTTGGATTCATCAGACCAGGCCATCCCTCCTTGGTCCCGTTATGATGCTCAAGTGCCTGTTGTAGGCCCCTTTGGCTGTGGACACAGGTCAATGTGGGCACCCTGACCGGTCTGTGGCTACACTGCCCCATACACAAACTGCGATGGACATCAACTTCAGGGACAACATGTTCACTTGCTGTCTAGAATATCCTACCCTCTTTCAGATGCCATTTAAACCAGATCAATGTTTTTCACTTGATTGGTCAGAATGTTATGGCTGGTCAGTGTAGGTGGAAGATGTTCAGACTGATGTCGGGTACATGAGCCGTAGCGTATGTGGAGGATAAGATCTGCAGGCTGATGTCAGACATGATCTGTAGCGTTGGTGAGGAGTGGAACAAGCTTTGTTTTTGTCTTCTCAGCAGTGAGGAATGTGCCGGGTGTTTGAGGACATGAATCGGCAGGCTCAGGTATGGGGGCTTCAGGGCTCTCCCTGGGGGGGGGGGAATTGGTCACATGATCTCCTCACCATGTGAAATGTGATCCATAGAAAATGTCCACCTGTCCTCCCCGTCCTCTGGAGGCTTATAGCTGTACAGGGCAGAGGATGTATGAATGTGGACATCTCTACAGTGCTGGCTATGTCTGTGTGGAGATTGTCCCTCATGGTGGCAAGTTTCTGCAGCTGATTTCTGAGCTCTTCTCATGCTGAAGAAACTCAACACACAACCCCCCCCCCCCCCCCCCAATCTTCCTCACCTCTCAGCTGAGCAGACCATAACAGGTCCTCTTGGGGTTTGTCTGGTTCTGCTCTGTGGCTTTCAGATGGTCTGCACATCCTGTAGAGTCCTGGCTGGCATTGGTAGTGAATGGTCTGTGCCTTCCACTGATTGGTTGTTGGAACACGAAGTGGAAACTTTTTATTATGAACAGCTCCTCTATTGGGGGGGGAATTGACCTTGAAGTGGTATAAGCTTTAGTTTTCAATGGAGTAGACAAGATGGTAGCTCTGCCAGGTTTTTTTTTCCCTGTCGGGGAGATTTCCCTTCATTTCCTGTCTGAGACCCAACAGGAAGTAAGGGAATCCCTGCCTTTCCCATGACAGCTCCTGTTCTGTTGACAATAGGGAGGTTCCTACTCGTTTGTCTTGCTGACACTAGGAGGAATGGAGGACCCAGAGGTTGTAATCCTTCCACACTCCATCCAAATCTGAAAAATGTTTTGGCTGGAGACACTGTAACCCTTTTCATGAGAATTACAAAAGCCACCATGTCTGGTAGAATGCTGGTTGCCTAGCTGAGGGTTCTTCTGGTTTCATGACTTTGAGCCCCCGATCCAGAAGACATGTACATAGCGGACAGGCCAAGTCCCATCTTTAGATTTATTCTCCTAGTATTGAAGCTGACTCTAATCCGCCTTCTCTTCTCTCCACAGCTGCCCTACAGGCCACCCGTGCTCTCATGGTGGTCGCCATCATTCTCGGGATATTCGGCATGGCCATTTCCACCATGGGGATGAAGTGCACCAAATGTGGGGGAGATGACAAGGTGAAGAAAGCACGGATCGCCATGACCGGAGGCTTTGTCTTCCTGGTGGCGGGTGAGTAACCAGGCAGTGGGTGGGATCTGGTTCTAGAGTGGCACTTGGCTGTGGGTGGGATCTGGTCATAGAAGGGGGTTACCTGGCTGTGGGTGGGATCTGGTCATAGAAGGGGGTTACCTGGCTGTGGGTGGGATCTGGTCATAGAAGGGGGTTACCTGGCTGTGGGTGGGATCTGGTCATAGAAGGGGGTTACCTGGCTGTGGGTGGGATCTGGTCATAGAAGGGGGTTACCTGGCTGTGGGTGGGATCTGGTCATAGAAGGGGGTTACCTGGCTGTGGGTGGGATCTGGTCATAGAAGGGGGTTACCTGGCTGTGGGTGGGATCTGGTCATAGAAGGGGGTTACCTGGCTGTGGGTGGGATCTGGTCATAGAAGGGGGTTACCTGGCTGTGGGTGGGATCTGGTCATAGAAGGGGGTTACCTGGCTGTGGGTGGGATCTGGTCATAGAAGGGGGTTACCTGGCTGTGGGTGGGATCTGGTCATAGAAGGGGGGGGTTACCTGGCTGTGGGTGGGATCTGGTCATAGAAGGGGGGGGGGTTACCTGGCTGTGGGTGGGATCTGGTCAGAAGGGGGTGTGGGTTACCTGGCTGTGGGTGGGATCTGGTCAGAAGTGGGGGGGGGGGGGGTTACCTGGCTGTGGGTGGGATCTGGTCAGAAGGGGGGGGGGGGGGGGGGGGGGGGGGGGGGGGGGGGGGGGGGTTACCTGGCTGTGGGTGGGATCTGGTCAGAAGGGGGGGGGGGGGGTTACCTGGCTGTGGGTGGGATCTGGTCAGAAGGGGGGTGTGGGTTACCTGGCTGTGGGTGGGATCTGGTCATAAGGGGGGGGGGGTTACCTGACTGTGGGTGGGATCTGGTCAGAAGGGGGAGGGGTTACCTGGCTGTGGGTGGGATCTGGTCATAGAAGGGTGGTACCTGGCTGTTCTGGTGTATCTTTCAGGCATGGAGGAGTTTTGGTCTTCCACTTGAATAGATCTGGATGATAAAACAAGGTGGGCAGGAACAGTAGGGATCCCATTTCAAAGGTTGAGGTGGGTTTTGTAGAAGAGTGAACTCTCCAGAGATCACCAGAGCCTCAGATACAAGGAACCTCTGAAAGGTTTCAGCACCTGAGGGAATGTTGGCTCTGAGCCCAAACCTGAAGGATTTGATGTGGTGAGAACAGATATCTACCAGGGCTTGGTATTGGTTGGAGGTCTTTGTGGTAAAGGCTTTATTGGTGGGTGGGCCTTTGTGGTAAAGGCTGTTGGCAGTGTGGTCTCTGGTGGAGAGGCATCTGGCATAGGCTTTGGTATGGAGACGTTTATTGTACTGACTTTGTAGGCTGGGAGGTCTCTGATGGGGTTTAGTGATAAGGGGGCTTTATTGGCAGGAAGGCCTTTGTGCAGCTGGCTTTGTTGGGGGGTCTTTGTGGGGCTGGCTATGAAAGGGGTAGATCTCTGTGGAACCCATACTTAGAATAGTGTCTTCTCCTGCAGGTCTGGCGGCCCTCATTGCCTGCTCCTGGTATGGAAATCAGATTATCCGGGACTTCTACAACCCACTGACTCCCGTAAATACAAAGTAAGTAACACTTGCAGTATTGCAGCCAATCAGTCCTGCTACTAGATGGGGGAGGGGAACTCCGACACGTGGGATAGTTGTATGGATGGAGGGTGGGAACCCCAGGACACATGGGACAGTTGTTTGGATGGGGGGTGGGAACCCCAGGACACGTGGGACAGTTGTATGGATGGAGGATGGGAACCCCAGGACACGGACAGTTGTGTGGATGGGGGTAGTGGGAACCCCAGGACACGTGGGACAGTTGTGTGGATGGGGGTAGTGGGAACCCCAGGACCCATGGTGTGGATGGGGGTGGTGGAACCCCAGGACCCATGGTATGGATGGGGGTGGTGGAACCCCAGGACCCATGGTATGGATGGGGGTGGTGGAACCCCAGGACCCATGGTATGGATGGGGGTGGTGGAACCCCAGGACCCATGATTATCAAACACTCTCCTTTCCCCTCCAGGTATGAATTTGGTGCCGGTGTATTCCTTGGCTGGGCTGGCTCCTTCTTGGTTCTTATTGGTGGCGCTCTCCTGGCTTGCTCGTGTCCCCGGAAATCCGGCTACAACACCAAAGGTTACCCGAAGACGGGAGGAGCACGGACCAAGGCTTCATCTGGTGGCAAGGACTATGTCTGACCTTAGGGCGTGGCTGAAGTGGTGCCCTGCCAGCTTCCATCTGACTCCACACATCCCACGATGCAGCACTTTGAAGGATTCCTGTGCGGAGATGGTGGGCCGCCACGGTTTCACCTGCAGTGTGGGGACAACGGACGCCATGTTTTTTCTGCCTTTCAAAGACTGTAAATTGTGTGGTCACATGGAGTACGGAGATGGCCGCTTTACTCCACATTGCTTCAGAGTAACTTTGCACCATTGTGTCTTATGAAATGTAACTGATTTGTTGGTATAATTATATGGGGGGAGGGAGTGGGGTGGGGGAGGGGTTGGCATCTGATCTCTTTTATCCGGTATACTGTGAGCGTCCTCAGTGACCTCTCGACCTTCTTGTGTACATGTGTGTTTTTGCATTTTTAGTAGTTTTGTAAATAACTTTTTTTCAATAAAAGTTTAAAAGATCAAAACCTTTTTGTGTTCTAAACATAGCGGGTTGATGGTGGTCACATGACTACGCTGCATTTCCCCAATCAGGAGGGGCTGTGCTGGGGCCTATCATGGAAGGGCATAGCAAGACTTGTTTGAGGACATGCATAACCATTTTATGACGTGTTGTGCTGTATGAGTCAGGTAGACACCCTCCTCTCAATGTGGTTGGTTCCTGGGGGTCAGGTAGATGGCCCTCCCCTTGGATGTGGTTGGTTCCCGGGGGTCAGGTAGATGGCCCTCCCCTCAATGTGGTTGGTTCCTGGGGGTCAGGTAGATGGCCCTCCCCTTGGATGTGGTTGGTTCCTGGTGGTCAGGTAGATGGCCCTCCCCTTGGATGTGGTTTGGTTCCCGGGGTCGGGTAGATGGCCCTCCCCTTGGATGTGGGTTGGTCCCCGGGGGTCGGGTAGATGGCCCTCCCCTTGGATGTGGGTTGGTCCCCGGGGGTCGGGTAGATGGCCCTCCCCTTGGATGTGGGTTGGTCCCCGGGGGTCGGGTAGATGGCCCTCCCCTTGGATGTGGGTTGGTCCCCGGGGGTCGGGTAGATGGCCCTCCCCTTGGATGTGGGTTGGTCCCCGGGGGTCGGGTAGATGGCCCCTCCCCTTGGATGTGGTTTGGTTCCCGGGGGTCAGGTAGATGGCCCCTCCCCTTGGATGTGGTTTGGTTCCCGGGGGTCAGGTAGATGGCCCCCTCCCCTTGGATGTGGTTTGGTTCCCGGGGGTCAGGTAGATGGCCCCCTCCCCTTGGATGTGGTTTGGTTCCCGGGGGTCAGGTAGATGGCCCCCTCCCCTTGGATGTGGTTTGGTTCCCGGGGGTCAGGTAGATGGGCCCCCTCCCCTTGGATGTGGTTTGGTTCCCGGGGTCAGGTAGATGGCCCCCTCCCCTTGGATGTGGTTTGGTTCCCGGGGGTCAGGTAGATGGCCCCTCCCCTTGGATGTGGCTTGGTTCCCGGGGGTCAGGTAGATGGCCCCTCCCCTTGGATGTGGTTTGGTTCCCGGGGGTCAGGTAGATGGCCCCTCCCCTTGGATGTGGCTTGGTTCCCGGGGGTCAGGTAGATGGCCCCTCCCCTTGGATGTGGCTTGGTTCCCGGGGGTCAGGTAGATGGCCCCTCCCCTTGGATGTGGTTTGGTTCCCGGGGGTCAGGTAGATGGCCCCTCCCCTTGGATGTGGTTTGGTTCCCGGGGGTCAGGTAGATGGCCCCTCCCCTTGGATGTGGTTTGGTTCCCGGGGGTCAGGTAGATGGCCCCTCCCCTTGGATGTGGTTTGGTTCCCGGGGGTCAGGTAGATGGCCCCTCCCCTTGGATGTGGTTTGGTTCCCGGGGGTCAGGTAGATGGCCCCTCCCCTTGGATGTGGTTTGGTTCCCGGGGGTCAGGTAGATGGCCCCTCCCCTTGGATGTGGTTTGGTTCCCGGGGGTCAGGTAGATGGCCCCTCCCCTTGGATGTGGTTTGGTTCCCGGGGGTCAGGTAGATGCCCCTCCCCTTGGATGTGGTTTGGTTCCCGGGGGTCAGGTAGATGGCCCCCTCCCCTTGGATGTGGTTTGGTTCCCGGGGGTCAGGTAGATGCCCCTCCCCTTGGATGTGGTTTGGTTCCCGGGGGTCAGGTAGATGGCCCCTCCTCTTGGATGTGGTTTGGTTCCCGGGGGTCAGGTAGATGGCCCCTCCCCTTGGATGTGGTTTGGTTCCCGGGGGTCAGGTAGATGGCCCCTCCCCTTGGATGTGGTTTGGTTCCCGGGGGTCAGGTAGATGCCCCACCCCTTGGATGTGGTTTGGTTCCCGGGGGTCAGGTAGATGGCCCCTCCCCTTGGATGTGGTTTGGTTCCCGGGGGTCAGGTAGATGCCCCACCCCTTGGATGTGGTTTGGTTCCCGGGGGTCAGGTAGATGCCCCATAGATCTGACAGGACAGACATAAAACATGGATCATCAAACGAATGGGTGGCTGGTGTCGGCGGGGGGGAGTGGCGCCCCCTGGCTGGTGTCGGCGGGGGGGGGGAGTGGCGCCCCCTCAGCAGTGATTATGTTCCACCATAAATGGTTCCCAGAGGGCTGTAGTTTGGAGACCCGTTCTATAGAGATGGATACAATGTGTATATAACATCCGATCCTCTATGAAGCCAAGCCGTTCCGCATTCTTCCATCCCGATAGGACCTCCTGCATGCTGTAGTCCAGTAGATTCCTCCAGAATATTCCGATTTCTGGACCTTCTCTGTATCTCAGCGATGTGTCGGATCCGAGTGGAGGAACAGTTGGATGAAGGGATTGTGTGCTGAGATGTGGATTCCTGAAGGTGGATTCATCTGGAACATTCCACTGCTGGTTATTCATCAACCAATCAGGGCTCCTGTCTCCAGGACTACGGGGGCTCCGGCCGGGTGTTCACTATACGGTTTATAGTCGATGAGCCGAGCCCCGCTGATCGGTATTATGGAGAGATGGGTGCGATTTTGTTCTGAATCCATTTGGATGAATGTTGAGGGTCTGATATGTCTCAAGTACAATGGTAACAAATTTAGACCAATCCAAAATGTTTTTTCCGACATTTGAAATGTACGGATATTGCCGCTTTTCCTTCAGAGATTGTATTACAATATAGCTGTCCTTTGAATTTGGGGAAAGAATTGAATATATTGGTCAACTGGAAAGAAGAATAAATCTGAGCAGAACTCTCCCCTGAAATGTGCATTTACAATAGAACCGCCACAACGAATCTGAATCCAGTCCATAGGTTCCAATACTTTCAAATCCTTTGGAAAAACTTGAATCGGTTGAAAACAAATGAAATGAATTTTATGGATGCAACAAAACCAAGTTGGTAACTTTGGTGGGAAATGACTGTCTTCATGCTGCACGTCTAGCTATGGTGGTGCTCGGGTCTAAGGAATGGCGTGACGGCTCTGGGTGACGCTGTGCTAATGAAGGCAATAGCAGCATCTCCGGCCTCCACCCTCCCGAGGAGTCTGGTTGCAGAGGAGCAGTCAATCGTGTGCAGGTCTCTGCCCTGGTCGGGTGTACTCCGTGAGGGATCAGTCTGAGGAACAGCTGGGACAGGTACAGAGGTTGTAGGAGAGCTGAGGGGGGCCGTGTCTTGGGTCTGACTGGGGCCTGAGGGGGACCATGTCTGGGGCCTGAGGGGAACCATGTCTTGGGTCTGTCTGGGGCCTGAGGGGGACCATGTCTGGGGCCTGAGGGGAACCATGTCTTGGGTCTGACTGGACCATACCTGGGGCCTGAGGGGGACCATGTCTTGGGTCTGACTGGACCATACCTGGGGCCTGAGGGGAACCATGTCTTGGGTCTGACTGGACCATACCTGGGGCCAGAGGGGGACCATGTCTGGGGTCTGACTGGACCATACCTGGGGCCTGAGGGGGACCATGTCTGGGGTCTGACTGGACCATACCTGGGGCCTGAGGGGGACCATGTCTGGGGTCTGACTGGACCATATCTGGGGTCTGTGGGGGACCATGTTTTGGGTCTGACTGGACCATACCTGGGGCCTGAGGGGGACCATGTCTGGGGTCTGAATAGACAATACTTGGGGCCAGAGGGGGACCATGTCTGGGGTCTGAATGGACCATATCTGGGGTCTGTGGGGGACCATGTCTTGAGTCTGACTGGACCATACCTGGGGCCTGAATAGACCATACCTGGGGCACCATGCCTGGGGCCTATATCTAAGGTCTGAAGGGACCATGTCTGGGGTCTGACTGGACCATACCTGGGGCCTGAGGGGGACCATGTCTGGGGTCTGACTGGACCATACCTGGGGACCATGTCTGGGGTCTGACTGGTCCATACCTGGGGCACCATGCCTGGGGCCTATATCTAAGGTCTGAAGGGACCATGTCTGGGGTCTGACTGGACCATACCTGGGGCCTGAGGGGGACCATGTCTGGGGTCTGAATGGACCATGTCTTGGGTCTGACTGGACCATACCTGGGGACCATGTCTGGGGTCTGACTGGTCCATACCTGGGGCCTGAATAGACCATACCTGGGGCACCATGCCTGGGGCCTATATCGAAGGTCTGAAGGGACCATGTCTGGGGCCTGAGGGGGACCATGTCTGGGGCCTGAGGGTGACCATGTCTGGGGCACCATGCCTAGGGCCTATATCTAAGGTCTGAAGGGACCATGTCTGGGGTCTGACTGGACCATACCTGGGGCCTGAGGGGGACCATGTCTTGGGTCTGACTGGACCATGTCTGGGGCCTGAGGGGGACCATGTCTGGGGCCAGAATAGACAATACCTGGGGCCAGAGGGGGACCATGTCTGGGGTCTGACTGGTCCATACCTGGGGCCTGAATAGACCATACCTGGGGCACCATGCCTGGGGCCTATATCTAAGGTCTGAAGGGACCACATGTCTGGGGCCTGAGGGGGACCATGTCTGGGGCCTGAATAGACAATACCTGGGGCCAGAGGGGGACCATGTCTGGGGTCTGAATGGACCATATCTGGGGTCTGTGGGGGACCATGTCTGGGGTCTGACTGGTCCATACCTGGGGCACCATGCCTGGGGCCTATATCTAAGGTCTGAAGGGACCATGTCTGGGGTCTGAAGGGACCAAACCTGAGGCCTGGGCAGTCAGGAGGTAGATTATCATTTTCCTGTCTTTGAAGTAATGGTGGAAACCCCTGTGAAGGTGACCATTTGTGTGCAGATCTTACCTTTTTCAATGAAAGTGAAATCCTCAGAACTTCTAGAGAGGACTGACCTCAGCAGGAAGTTCCACACTGGAGAGAACAGAATGGTGATCGCGGAGATCAGTGTCTTGTAGGATGGTGATAGTGTGGAGGGAGATCCAGTGCTAACTGCCCCGGGGGGGAGGTGACGCCACACACTAGACTGGTGATGGCGGATGAGATCAGTGTCTTGTAGGATGGTGATAGTGCGGAGGGAGATCTGGTGCTAACTGCCCCGGGGGGAGGTGACACCACACACTAGACTGGTGATGGCGGAGATCAGTGTCTTGTAGGATGGTGATAGTGCGGAGGGAGATCTGGTGCTAACTGCCCCGGGGGGAGGTGACGCCACACACTAGACTGGTGATGGCGGAGATCAGTGTCTTGTAGGATGGTGATAGTGTGGAGGGAGATCTGGTGCTAACTGCCCCGGGGGGAGGTGACGCCACACACTAGACTGGTGATGGCGGAGATCAGTGTCTTGCAGGATGGTGATAGTGCGGAGGGAGATCTGGTGCTAACTGCCCCCGGGGGGGGGGGGGGAGGGGGGGTGACGCCACACTGACACCAATACAGTGATGAGGGATAACACGGTACTAATGACACGGCTGGGAAGGGGTTACCTGTGTGCTCTGTGCTGCATTTAGGGCTGGTTCACACCACAGACACGCAATCCGGATGTTTCCGCATGTGCGGCTTTAATGTGTTCTGGGGCATTTTTTTCCAACTTTTCTTCGATATAAATTGGGACATCTGCGTGCTGGTGCGTCCCATTGCGTCTGTGGCGCGTCCCATTGCGTCTGTGGCGCGTCCCATTGCGTCTGTGGCGCGTCCCATTGCCTCTTTGCTGCGTTCCATTGCGTCTTTGGCGCGTCCCATTGCGTCTTTGGCGCGTCCCATTGCGTCTTTGGCGCGTCCCATTGCGTCTGTGGCGCGTCCCATTGCGTCTTTGGCGCGTCCCATTGCGTCTTTGCTGCGTCCCATTGCGTCTTTGCTGCGTCCCATTGCGTCTTTGGCGCGTCCCATTGCGTCTGTGGCGCGTCCCATTGCGTCTTTGGCGCGTCCCATTGCGTCTTTGCTGCGTCCCATTGCGTCTTTGCTGCGTCCCATTGCGTCTTTGCTGCGTCCCATTGCGTCTTTGCTGCGTCCCATTGCGTCTTTGGCGCGTCCCATTGCGTCTGTTGTGGCGCGTCCCATTGCGTCTTTGGCGCGTCCCATTGCGTCTTTGCTGCGTCCCATTGCGTCTTTGGCGCGTCCCATTGCGTCTGTGGCGCGTCCCATTGCGTCTTTGGCGCGTCCCATTGCGTCTTTGGCGCGTCCCATTGCGTCTTTGCTGCGTCCCATTGCGTCTTTGCTGCGTCCCATTGCGTCTTTGCTGCGTCCCATTGCGTCTTTGCTGCGTCCCATTGCGTCTTTGGCGCGTCCCATTGCGTCTGTGGCGCGTCCCATTGCGTCTTTGGCGCGTCCCATTGCGTCTTTGGCGCGTCCCATTGCGTCTTTGCTGCGTCCCATTGCGTCTTTGCTGCGTCCCATTGCGTCTTTGCTGCGTCCCATTGCGTCTTTGGTGTGTTACCTCCTTCCAGTCCAGTTCTGCGCAGGAAACGTGCAGCCGGTTGTCCTCCTCCTGGCACTAGCAGTGATGGTGAGAACTCCCACAACACGTCTCCGACTTTCTCTGCGTTTTGGATGCAGAAATAAATGGCGTGTGAGCCGCCCTGAGTGATGGCAGAACATGTCGCTGCCATCACAGGAGAGCTCTGTGCAATGTAACAACACAGACCTCTGTGCTGTCCCCGGCTCAGCCAATCAGTGGGCCTTGTGCTGTAGTGACTGATGGATGAGGCGGGGCACACGGGCACCCCACCTGGACATGTGGAGCCCCCCCCCCCCACCTGGACATGTGGAGCCCCCCCCCCCCCGCCGGCAGCACGCAACGGGCATCAACGTCACCCCGGGACCTCGCAGTTTGTGTGGTAGAGGAGTGCATTGATTTCTTGCCATCCTCCCCTGATACATGTACACCGTCCTCACGTGTCACCAACGCTGGACCCGTCCTCACGTGACACCAACACTACACCCATCCTCACGTGTCACCAACGCCGGACCCGTCCTCACGTGACACCAACACCGGACCCGTCCTCACGTGTCACCAACGCCGGACCCGTCCTCACGTGTCACCAACGCCAGACCCGTCCTCACGTGACACCAACGCCGGACCCGTCCTCACGTGACACCAACGCCGGACCCGTCCTCACGTGACACCAACACCGGACCCGTCCTCACGTGACACCAACACCGGACCCGTCCTCACGGGACACCAACACTACACCCATCCTCACGTGTCACCAACACCGGACCCGTCCTCACGTGACACCAACACCAGACCCGTCCTCACGTGACACCAACACCGGACCCGTCCTCACGTGACACCAACACCGGACCCGTCCTCACGTGACACCAACACCGGACCCGTCCTCACGTGTCACCAACACTACACCCGTCCTCACGTGTCACCAACGCCGGACCCTTCCTCACGTGTCACCAACACCGGACCCGTCCTCACGTGACACCAACACTACACCCATCCTCACGTGTCACCAACACCGGACCCGTCCTCACGTGACACCAACACCGGACCCGTCCTCACGTGACACCAACACCGGACCCGTCCTCACGTGTCACCAACACTACACCCGTCCTCACATGTCACCAACGCCGGACCCGTCCTCACGTGTCACCAACGCCGGACCCGTCCTCACGTGTCACCAACACCAGACCCGTCCTCACGTGACACCAACACCGGACCCGTCCTCACGTGTCACCAACACTACACCCATCCTCACATGTCACCAACGCCGGACCCGTCCTCACGTGTCACCAACGCCGGACCCGACACCGGACCAGTCCTCACGTGTCACCAACACTACACCCGTCCTCACGTGTCACCAACGCCGGACCCGTCCTCACGGGACACCAACACTACACCCATCCTCACGTGTCACCAACACCGGACCCGTCCTCACGTGACACCAACACCGGACCCGTCCTCACGTGACACCAACACCGGACCAGTCCTCACGTGTCACCAACACTACACCCATCCTCACGTGTCACCAACGCCAGACCCGTCCTCACGTGTCACCAACGCCGGACCCGTCCTCACGGGACACCAACGCCGGACCCGTCCTCACGGGACACCAACGCCGGACCCGTCCTCACGTGTCACCAACACTACACCCGTCCTCACGTGTCACCAACACTACACCCGTCCTCACGTGTCACCAACACTACACCCGTCCTCACGTGTCACCAACACTACACCCGTCCTCACGTGTCACCAACGCCGGACCCGTCCTCACGTGTCACCAACGCCGGACCCAACACCGGACCAGTCCTCACGTGTCACCAACACTACACCCGTCCTCACGTGTCACCAACACCGGACCCGACACCGGACCAGTCCTCACGTGTCACCAACACTACACCCGTCCTCACGTGTCACCAACACCGGACCCGACACCGGACCAGTCCTCACGTGTCACCAACGCCGGACCCGTCCTCACGTGTCACCAACGCCGGACCCGTCCTCACGTGTCACCAACGCCGGACCCGTCCTCACGTGTCACCAACGCCGGACCCGTCCTCACGTGTCACCAACGCCGGACCCGTCCTCACGGGACACCAACGCCGGACCCGTCCTCACGTGACACCAACGCCGGACCCGTCCTCACGTGTCACCAACGCCGGACCCGTCCTCACGTGTCACCAACGCCGGACCCGTCCTCACGGGACACCAACGCCGGACCCGTCCTCACGTGACACCAACGCCGGACCCGTCCTCACGTGTCACCAACGCCGGACCCGTCCTCACGTGTCACCAACGCCGGACCCGTCCTCACGTGTCACCAACGCCGGACCCGTCCTCACGAGTCACCAACGCCAGACCCGTCCTCACGTCACACCAACACCGGACCCGTCCTCATCTTCCTCCTCCCAGAAACGTTCCCAGGAATGGCGGCTGGGGGCCGGGATGGTCACTGAGGGACGGCCATCTTGGAAACGTTTCCACCAATCCGGTCTCCTCCGCGCCCCGTGTGCCATCCTCTGTACACCTCACCACACGCAGCTCCATGCACCAACACCATGTCCGCCATCTTGGACCGGCCCGCCACATGTGCGCCCCCTATCAGTGATAGCACACACTGCAGTACATCCCCCCCAGGTATTACAGGCATGGGGGGTCAGTACTGGGAATGGAGGTCGGGGAGGTAAAATGACACAGAGAAGCCTTCCCTCAGGGCAGGGCAACTCCCCCCACAGGACAGGAAGTGAGGGGAATCTCGTCTATGGGGACACTCCATCATTGAGAGGTCTATATAGTCAGTACGTGTGGGCGGTCCCGTACTCTGCAGGGAGAGGCACAAGGGACACGCCTCCTCCTACCTCCACCCAATCCTAGTTAGAGAAAAGAGCGGGATTCCGGTTGACCCCGCCCCCTCACCTGACGCCATCTTGTGACCGCTGAGAGAAAATGGCGGCCGGCGGCCATCTTCCTCCACCCGGAGGAGGGCGCACAGCGGTGACGTCACCGGATTCGGAGAGATGTTAGAGGAGCTGAGGAGAGCGGGGAGCCCCGGGACCCTGATCATCACAGGTAATGTCCCCGCCCACAGGGAGGGGCCGGAGACACGCCTCCTCAGCGTACAGGGCCGAGCCCAGCCCCCTCTCCTGTAAGGACTCGGTACTCGGGGGGTCAGCCGGACACCTCCTATATCCATCCCACTGACTGGTGTCCTGACTCCTCCCTCACTTCCTGAAACCCCTCCCCCAGCTGACCACACCCACTGCCCCATGGAGGAGATTTCCCCCACTTCCCGTCCTGGTGACACCCCGACATTCTGGATTTCCTTTCAGTGATAACAGTAATCAGACTCTGCCCACCACTGTGTTTGTGGTGACTCCACCATGCAGCTCAGTATTGTTCTCCCTGACACTCCTGAGGTCACCTGTATCCCGGACAGTTGTGGGTCTAGCTGACCTTGGCTTGGTGTCAGGAGATCGGGGGTAGTGATTGGACAGCTCTGACCGCCACATTCCAGGCTTTGGACATCTTTTTATGTCCTTTTCCATCTGTATAAAGTTCCATTCCCTTGTTACGCAGGACTTCTGACAGTTCTTGTCTGCTCCCCATGGCTCAGTATGTAGCCTGCTCAGTGCATCCATGTGAGAGCGAACACACACACTGATTGTAAGAAGACACACGTGTGCGATGTGACCCTTTAATTGCCATGGTAACCTGTGTGTGTTCCCACGTGTGTCTGTACCAAAGCTGAACATTCCAGGGGGTGGAGACTTCTGATCCGGGGGGGGAGACTTCTGATCCGGGGGGGCGGAGACTTCTGATCCGGGGGGCGGAGACTTCTGATCCGGGGGGCGGAGACTTCTGATCCGGGGGGCGGAGACTTCTGATCCGGGGGGTGGAGACTTCTGATCCGGGGGGCGGAGACTTTTGATCCAGGGGGCGGAGACTTCTTATCCGGGGGGTCACATTGGTGAAAGAATGGGTCGCTCTCGGGAGCTCAGTGACTCCAAGCGTGGTCCCGTGATAGGTGGCCACCTGGGCAATAAGTCCATCCGTGACATTTCCTGGCTACTAAATATTCCACGCTCAACTGTTAGTGGGATTATAACAAAGTGGAAGCCACTGGGAACAACAGCCACTCAGCCACCAAGTGGTAGGCCACGTCACATGACAGGGCGGGGTCAGCGCATGCTGAAGCGCACAGTGCGCAGAAGTCACCAACTGTCTGCAGAGTCAATAGCTAAAGACCTCCAAACTTGGTGTGGCCTTCAGATGAGCCCAACAACAGTGCGTAGAGAGCTTCATGGAATGGGTTTCCATGGCCGAGCAGCTGCATCCAAGCCTTCCATCACCAAGTGCAATGCAAAGCGTTGGATGACGTGGTGTAAAGCACGCCGCCACTGGACTCTAGAGCAGAGGAGACGTGTTCTCTGGAGTGACCAATCACGCTTCTATCTGACAATCTGAGGGGGGCGCAAGACGTGGGCAGGCGAGGGGAACACGAGGCGTGGGAGGGGGGCACGAGGCGTGGCAGGCGAGGGGGGCGCAAGGCAAGGGGGGCGTGGGCAGGCAAGGGGGCGCAGGCAGGCGAGGGGGGCGCGTGGCGTGTGCAGGCGATAGGCGAGGGGGGCGTGTGCAGGCGAGGGGGGCGCGGGGCGTGTGCAGGCGAGGGGGGCACGGGGCGTGTGCAGGCGAGGGGCGTGGGCAGGCGAGGGGCGTGTGCAGGTGAGGGGGGGGTGCGAGGCGTGGGCCGGCGAGGGGGGCGTGGGCAGGTGAGGCATGGGCCGGCGCGGGGCGTGTGCAGGCGAGGGGGGCGTGGGCAGGCGAGTGGGGCGTGGGCAGGTGAGTGGGGTGTGGGCAGGCAAGGGGGGCGCGGGGGCGTGTGCAGGCGAGGGGGGCATGGGCAGGTGAAGGGGGCGTGGGCAGGCGAGGCATGGGAGTGGGGCGTGGGCAAGCGAGGGGGGCGTGGGCCAGCGAGGGGGGCGCGGGGCGGGTGCAGGCGAGGGGGGCATGGGCAGGTGAAGGGGGCGCGGGCAGGCGAGGGGGGCACGGGGCGTGTGCAGGCGAGGGGGGTGCGAGGCGTGGGCCGGCGAGGGGGGCGTGGGCCGGCGCGGGGCGTGTGCAGGCGAGGGGGGCACAAGCCGTGGGCAGGCGAGTGGGGCGTGGGCAGGCAAGGGGGGCGCGGGGCGTGTGCAGGCGAGGGGGGCATGGGCAGGTGAAGGGGGCGTGGGCAGGCGAGGCATGGGAGCGGGGCGTGGGCAAGCGAGGGGGGCGTGGGCCAGTGAGGGGGGCGCGGGGCGTGTGCAGGCGAGGGGGGCGCGGGGTGTGGGCAGGCGCGGGGGGCGTGTGCAGGCGAGGGGGGCGCGGGGCGTGTGCAGGCGAGGGGGGCGCGGGGCGTGGGCAGGCGAGCGGGGCGTGGGCAGGCGAGGGGGGGCGCGGGGCGTGGGCAGGCGAGCGGGGCGTGGGCCAGCGAGGGGGATACAATGTATGTGTTTCCTGTGAATCACAATCTATAGATCTGCCTGGACAGTCCAACCAATATACACACCAAGACCCCCCCATCCCGTCCCGTTATCGGTGGGCGGAGATACAATTGTACAATCTGATTGGGAGGTTGGTGATCCAATCTCAGCACAATGTTCTGTAATACCGAACTTCAACCACACCTTCCCCACTAAACTCCACCCCTTTCTCCACAGACTCCGCCTTCCTTAGTGGCCGACCACTCCTCCACAGTCTGATTGTATCTGCAGTACAGAGGTGAGTGTGCCAGACCAGCCAATTGGGAAGGAGGAGGGACGGGTGGGGTGTAATGGGGAGGATGAGGGATTATCAGGGTGTTGTAGTGGAGGATGAGAGATTATCGGGGTGCTGTAGTGGAGGATGAGAGATTATCAGGGTGCTGTAGTGGAGGATGAGAGATTATCGGGGTGCTGTAGTGGAGGATGAGACATTATCGGGGTGCTGTAATGGAGGATGAGACATTATCAGGGTGCTGTAGTGGAGGATGAGACATTATCGGGGTGCTGTAGTGGAGGATGAGGGAATATTGGGGTGCTGTAGTGGAGGATGAGGGAATGTTGGGGTGCTGTAGTGGAGGATGAGGGAATGTTGGGGTGCTGTAGTGGAGGATGAGGGAATGTTGGGGTGCTGTAGTGGAGGATGAGGGAATATTGGGGTGCTGTAGTGGAGGATGAGGGATTATCAGGGTGCTGTAGTAGACGATGAGGGAATATTGGGGTGCTGTAGTGGAGGATGAGGGATTATTGGGGTGCTGTAGTGGAGGATGAGGGATTATCAGGGTGCTGTAGTGGAGGATGAGAGATTATCGAGGTGCTTTAGTGGAGGATGAGACATTATCGGGGTGCTGTAATGGAGGATGAAACATTATCAGGGTGCTGTAGTGGAGGATGAGACATTATCGGGGTGCTGTAATGGAGGATGAGACATTATCAGGGTGCTGTAGTGGAGGATGAGGGATTATCAGGGTGCTGTAGTGGAGGATGAGGAAATATTGGGGTGCTGTAGTGGAGGATGAGGGAATATTGGGGTGCTGTAGTGGAGGATGAGGGATTATCAGGGTGCTGTAGTGGACGATGAGGGAATATCGGGGTGCTGTAGTGGAGGATGAGGGAATATCGGGGTGCTGTAGTGGAGGATGAGGGAATATTGGGGTGCTGTAGTGGAGGATGAGGGAATGTTGGGGTGCTGTAGTGGAGGATGAGGGAATATTGGGGTGCTGTAGTGGAGGATGAGGGATTATCAGGGTGCTGTAGTGGACTATGAGGGAATATTGGGGTGCTGTAGTGGAGGATGAGGGATTATCAGGGTACTGTAGTGGAGGATGAGGGATTATCAGGGTGCTGTAGTGGAGGATGAGGAAATATTGGGGTGCTGTAGTGGAGGATGAGGGAATATTGGGGTGCTGTAGTGGAGGATGAGGGATTATCAGGGTGCTGTAGTGGACGATGAGGAAATATTGGGGTGCTGTAGTGGAGGATGAGGGAATATTGGGGTGCTGTAGTGGAGGATGAGGGATTATCAGGGTGCTGTAGTGGACGATGAGGAAATATTGGGGTGCTGTAGTGGAGGATGAGGGAATATTGGGGTGCTATAGTGGAGAATGAGGGGTCAGTCATGGTCTGTTGGTCTCTCTTGCAGAGGGGAGCACGTTCACATCTTCAGCTTTGAGTTTCCCGCGGAGGAGTTTGTGGCCGGAGTTCCCGATGACGTGGTGTCCAGGTGAGTGGTGTCATGGTGGATGTTGTGTAGATCTGGGAGAGTTGGGAATGTCCTGTGACTCCCCCAGGGTGGCCAGAGTTCCCGATGACGTGGTGTCCAGGTGAGTGGTGTCATGGTGGACGTTGTGTAGATCTGGGAGAGTTGGGAATGTCCTGTGACTCCCCCAGGGTGGCCCGAGTTCCCGATGACGTGGTGTCCAGGTGAGTGGTGTCATGGTGGATGTTGTGTAGATCTGGGAGAGTTGGGAATGTCCTGTGACTCCCCCAGGGTGGCCCGAGTTCCCGATGACGTGGTGTCCAGGTGAGTGGTGTCATGGTGGATGTTGTGTAGATCCAGGAGAGTTGGGAATGTCCTGTGACTCCCCCAGGGTGGCCCGAGTTCCCGATGACGTGGTGTCCAGGTGAGTGGTGTCATGGTGGATGTTGTGTAGATCTGGGAGAGTTGGGAATGTCCTGTGACTCCCTCAGGGCTCGATATGATGGATTATCGGGTTTCTCTGTAGTAGACTGTTGGACCTTCTTCTCCAGATCCTCACATTGGGTCTGGAAGATGATTGGTGGCTTCATGGACCAATCATAAGAGGCCGGTGTGGGGGAACCAGACATATCGGGGGGATAGTGGGAGCCTCCTATGGTGCTGCTTCAGCCATTGGCAGACGTCTCTGGATGTCCCAAGTACGTGACTGGAGGCTTCTCTGCTGCTCCTCCCTCACTCACATATTTGGGCCCCTGCAGTAAAGGGACCCATAATCCACAGGATCTGATCAGTCCCTGGCGGTGTCCAGACTGACAACTTGGCTCTTTGGGTTAGAGGAGATCACATCCTTATATGATGGGGAATGTCTGATGACCTCTGGAAGGTCCACTGTGAGGTCCTTGTGAACCCTGTGACCAGGGATGAGAGTAGAACCTCGGAGAAGGTCCTGGTGATGGAGGAGGAGAGTAGAACCTCGGAGAAGGTCCTGGTGATGGAGGAGGAGAGTAGAACCTCAGAGAAGGTCCTGGGTTCCTGGTGATGGAGGAGGAGTTGGATTGGAGAGGTCCTCTGTCCTTGTGAACCCTGTGACCAGGGATGAGAGTAGAACCTCGGAGAAGGTCCTTGGTTCCTGGTGATGGAGGAGGAGTCGGATTGGAGAGGTCCTCTGTCCTGGTGAACCCTGTGACCAGGGATGAGAGTAAAACCTTGGAGAAGGTCCTGGTGATGGAGGAGGAGAGTAGAACCTCGGAGAAGGTCCTGGGTTCCTGGTGATGGAGGAGGAGAGTAGAACCTCGGAGAAGGTCCTGGTGATGGAGGAGGAGAGTAGAACCTCGGAGAAGGTCCTGGGTTCCTGGTGATGGAGGAGGAGTCGGATTGGAGAGGTCCTCTGTCCTTGTGAACCCTGTGACCAGGGATGAGAGTAGAACCTCGGAGAAGATCCTGGGTTCCTGGTGATGGAGGAGGAGCCGTATTGGAGAGGTCCTCTGTCCTTGTGAACCCTGTGACCAGGGATGAGAGTAGAACCTCGGAGAAGGTCCTGGGTTCCTGGTGATGGAGGAGAAGAGTAGAACCTTGGAGAAGGTCCTGGTCCTCGTGATGGAGGAGGAGAGTAGAACCTCGGAGAAGGTCCTGGGTTCCTGGTGATGGAGGAGGAGAGTAGAACCTTGGAGAAGGTCCTGGTGATGGAGGAGGAGAGTAGAACCTCGGAGAAGGTCCTGGGTTCCTGGTGATGGAGGAGGAGGAGGAGTCGGATTGGAGAAGTCCTCTGTCCTTGTGAACCCTGTGACCAGGGATGAGAGTAGAACCTCGGAGAAGATCCTGGGTTCCTGGTGATGGAGGAGGAGCCGTATTGGAGAGGTCCTCTGTCCTTGTGAACCCTGTGACCAGGGATGAGAGTAGAACCTCGGAGAAGGTCCTGGATTCCTGGTGATGGAGGAGAAGAGTAGAACCTTGGAGAAGGTCCTGGTCCTGGTGATGGAGGAGGAGAGTAGAACCTCGGAGAAGGTCCTGGGTTCCTGGTGATGGAGGAGGAGAGTAGAACCTGGAGAAGGTCCTGGTGATGGAGGAGGAGAGTAGAACCTCTGAGGAGGTCCTGGGTTCCTGGTGATGGGGAGGAGAGTAGAACCCTCGGAGAAGGTCCTGGTGATGGAGGAGGAGAGTAGAACCTGGGAGAAGGTCCTGGTGATGGAGGAGGAGAGTAGAACCTCGGAGAAGGTCCTGGATTCCTGGTGATGGAGGAGGAGAGTAAAACCTCGGAGAAGGTCCTGGTCCTGGTGATGGAGGAGGAGAGTAGAACCTCGGAGAAGGTCCTGGGTTCCTGGTGATGGTGGAGGAGAGTAGAACCTTGGAGAAGGTCCTGCGTTCCTGGTGATGGAGGAGGAGTCGGATTGGAGAGGTCCTCTGTCCTTGTGAACCCTCTGACCAGGGATGAGAGCAGAACCTCGGAGAAGGTCCTGGGTTCCTGGTGATGGAGGAGGAGAGTAGAACCTCGGAGAAGCTCCTGGGTTCCTGGTGATGGAGGAGGAGTCGGATTGGAGAGGTCCTCTGGAGAAGGTGAACCCTGGTGACCAGGGATGAGAGTAGAACCTTGGAGAAGGTCCTGGGTTCCTGGTGATGGAGGAGGAGCGTATTGGAGAGGTCCTCTGTCCTTGTGAACCCTGTGACCAGGGATGAGAGAGTAGAACCTCGGAGAAGGTCCTGGATTCCTGGTGATGGAGGAGGAGGAGGAGAGTAGAACCTCGGAGAAGGTCCTGGGTTCCTGGTGATGGAGGAGGAGAGTAGAACCTCGGAGAAGATCCTGGTGATGGAGGAGGAGAGTAGAACCTCGGAGAAGGTCCTGGGTTCCTGGTGATGGAGAAGGAGAGTAGAACCTCGGAGAAGGTCCTGGGTTCCTGGTGATGGAGGAGGAGTTCCTGTAGATTGGAGAGGTCCTGTCCTTGTGAACCTGTGACCAGGCATGAGAGTAGAACCTTGGAGAAGGTCCTGGGTTCCTGGTGATGGAGGATGAGAGTAGAACCTCGGAGATGGTCCTAGGTTCCTGGGTTCCTCGTGATGGAGAGGAGTCGGATTGGAGAGGTCCTCTGTCCATGTGAACCCTGTGACCAGGGATGAGAGTAGAACCTTGGAGAAGGTCCTGGGTTCCTGGTGATGGGGGATGAGCCGTATTGGAGAGGTCCTCTGTCCTTGTGAACCCTGTGACCAGGGATCAGAGTAGAACCTCGGAGAAGGTCTTGGTCCTGGTGATGGAGGAGGAGAGTAGAACCTCGGAGAAGGTCCTGGTGATGGAGGAGGAGAGAGTAGAACCTCGGAGAAGGTCCTCGGGTCCTGGATTCCTGGTGATGGAGGAGGAGAGTAGAACCTGGGAGAAGGTCCTGGTGATGGAGGAGGAGAGTAGAACCTCGGAGAAGGTCCTGGTTCGGTGAGGAGGAGGAGAGTAGAACCTGGGAGAAGGTCCTGGTGATGGAGGAGGAGAGTAGAACCTGGGAGAAGGTCCTCGATTCCTGTGATGGAGGAGGAGAGTAGAACCTCGGAGAAGGTCCTGGTGATGGAGGAGGAGAGTAGAACCTGGGAGAAGGTCCTGGTGATGGAGGGAGGAGAGTAGAACCTGGGAGAAGGTCCTGGTTATGGAGGAGGAGGAGTAGAACCTCGGAGAAGGTCCTGGGTTCCTGGTGATGGAGGAGGAGAGTAGAACCTCGGAGAAGGTCCTGGGTTCCTGGTGATGGAGGAGGAGAGTAGAACCTCGGAGAAGGTCCTGGTGATGGAGGAGGAGAGTAGTAGAACCTGGGAGAAGGTCCTGGTCCTGGTGATGGAGGAGGAGAGTAGAACCTCGGAGAAGGTCCTGGGTTCCTGGTGATGGAGGAGGAGTCGGATTGGGTGGCTCCGCCCAGTAAAAGTGGGTCATATTACGGGACGGTAGGTACTCCCAGGAACAGGAGGGGCCCCTATAGCAGAGCTCACCCATAATTCCATGCAGGACTGCTCTGTGGGGAGGAGTTATGGTCATAGCTGTCTGTAGGGGACCTTGTCCCCCCTCCTCCATTCATCATATAATCTGTGATATCCGGACCTTGTCCCCCCTCCTCCATTCATCATATATCAATCTGTGATATCCGGACCTTGTCCCCTCCTCCATTCATCATATAATCTGTGATATCCGGACTTTGTCCCCCCTCCATTCATCATATAATCTGTGATATCCGGACCTTGTCCCCCCCTCCTCCATTCATCATATAATCTGTGATATCCGGACCTTGTCCCCCCCTCCATTCATCATATAATCTGTGATATCCGGACCTTGTCCCCCCTCCTCCATTCATCATATAATCTGTGATATCCGGACTTTGTCCCCTCCTCCCCATTCATCATATAATCTGTGATATCCGGACCTTGTCCCCCTCCTCCATTCATCATATAATCTGTGATATCCGGACCTTGTCCCCCTCCTCCTCCATTCATCATATAATCTGTGATATCCGGACCTTGTCCCCCCCCCATTCATCATATAATCTGTGATATCCGGACCTTGTCCCCCCCCTCCATTCATCATATAATCTGTGATATCCGGACCTTGTCCCCCCCTCCCATTCATCATATAATCTGTGATATCCGGACCTTGTCCCCCCCATTCCTCCATTCATCATATAATCTGTGATATCCGGACCTTGTCCCCCCCTCCTCCATTCATCATATAATCTGTGATATCCGGACCTTGTCCCCCTCCTCCATTCATCATATAATCTGTGATATCCGGACCTTGTCCCCCTCCTCCATTCATCATATAACATATCCGGACCTTGTGATTCATCCTGTGATATATCCGACCTTGTCCCCCCTCCTCCATTCATCATATAATCTGTGATATCCGGACCTTGTCCCCCCTCCTCCATTTCATCATATAATCTGTGATATCCGGACCTTGTCCCCCCTCCTCCATTCATCATATAATAATCTGTGATATCCGGACCTTGTCCCCTCCTCCATTCATCATATAATCTGTGATATCCGGACCTTGTCCCCCCTCCTCC